ATTTTCATTACTGTACGAACCATTACCAGCAATTTGCATTACAGCTGGAAATATGAATGTTCAGACTTTGAAGTCCACTTCTCAAGAGTCAAGTGCTGTAATTTCCGGACGTATAGCCACGAGTCGTTTGCATTTTATCTCTCTATGCAAAGGAATCAGTTTGATACTCACGACGATTGCTTAGGAAATATTCGAGCTACAAGAAAATTATGTAGGACCTTTCGAGTCCAGGAAATCCTAATTGGTTTAAAAAAAAAGGTCGAAGCAATTGAAATCTGGATGAACACTTTCAATCTATAATTATTAGAGCTTGAGGTTACTTTGCTCTGCGTATTACTTTTTCACAACGAACTCACAACAAGCGTATAAATATGTACAGTTTAATTATCAGAACGATCGCTTAATCACCTGAATACAAAATTCAGCTCCACGCGCAGCCGGTAAGGGGAACTTAACAAGGCATCGCGCTCTACCGAGAGTTATAACACCATCATTGCTCACCCCTGTCGACTTTTCCGCGGGCAACGCGGGAAGAACGCCCTTATGATCGAGCGTTTTCGCTTAAGGAAACGCCACTCGGTTTCTGGTAAAGGCAGAATAATTTACGAGCAGCAGCAGTAACAGTGGCTGAAGGAGGTGAAGAGACTGTTAGAAAATCGAAACGGTCTCGTTATAGCCGCGTATACCGGCTTTTAAATTGCAGCTATTAATGCCCGGCACGCTTTTTGTCTCCCGGCTGACTGACCAGAAGAAATCATTCTCCGTGTAAACGAGAGCACGTGAGATTCGTAATCCAGTCTGATAATAAAGAATTTCGTGTACGGAGGTGTTCCAAGTGGCTGCGAGCCCCGTTATCCGGAGCTTCCTAACCGAAAACGATATTCGGACGTAGGTACTCCTGTACGACGTGCTCGGCGTCGATAAATCTGCCTCGAAATCGGCCATAGTAAAATTTGGCCTGCGAAGCGTTACGCGTTATCAGGCTACATGCATGGAACCAGGCGATTCGACCGGATCGAATTAGATTTCGTGCTACGTCGCTTATCAATCGGCTTATTATCTGCCGCTTCGCTCCGAACTGTCCGATTTCCGATGTGCGTCGGCGAAAAAAGGAATTTTTACCCACGGATCGATCGTTCGGAAGATCGCATCGGCTTTTATCGACGTCGAACGTAGGATTCTGCCGCTCTTCTCCTTTCTTTTGTCTCAGTTGTTTTCTTATTTACCATAGTACCGGAATTGGTATCGGTGCCTCGGTGACGGAGTTTCGATCAAAGGAGTTTGATGAGAATTTGCGTTGTTTGCTCCTGAGGCGAAAGGCGTGAGGGAAACGAAGGGGCAGGGATTGGGAGGAGTAATTTATTGTTTCTTGTTTGTGTTTTCAGAGTAAAGAGTGATTTATTATGTTTCGTGTTGACTGAAATGAGTTATGACGCGGATTCGCGTCAAAAATTTCGAGTAAACATTACAATTCCGCGACGAACAGTCTTGATAACTACACGATCTTCGCGCCTCGTGGAAGAATGAATTTTTTACACACCGGGACACATTGTACATGCCCATCCGCATTGTTTTTATCGCACAGAATTGACACGGTTCGACCTGATGGCTCATTTCATTTAGCAACTACTCCTGTTAATTGAAGTAAATTTTACGCGAATTTAACGTAACGCCAATTACCTGCAGTCGCCGTTATATCACCGATTAATAGTATTACGAAATTTGTGAACGTATCGTAAATATACGACACATCTACGATGGAAATTAAACGAGTCTCGAACTATAAATTCGCCGATCGAAACGCGATACATTTAGACGAAAAAGGTAGCGTTATTTTAAGCATTTTTGCAATATTGAAGGCAGTTAATTAAACGTCATTTTGTGCTTCGAGATTCAAGGCACCCGTATCCTATTTTCGGGATATTTGAAAAATTACAGATGTTACTCAGATGTCAAATTTGATGCTTCACAGATTAAAAATATCACGTGTTCCGATTTAGGAGAATAAGTTTCTCGTTGCACGTGAAAGTGCTTGTTACACGAGCATGTATTTCTGCTGCGGAATTATTCCATTCTGAAGCTTCAAAAAGAAAAAAGAGAATAATGGGATTACGTGATAATCAAGCTTCCTTGATACTCAAGGAAATATAACAATGATATTCATTTAACGTTTATTCATAGGAATTTTTTCATTTTCATTTTCCGACACATGCAACCGAGTAAACGAATGTAATTATTATCCTTCATAAATAGAGAAACGACGTCATTGCAGAGGTACAGTACTCCGTGAAAAGAGAATTATTTTCATTCTCTATTATTGAAATTCCAACAAAAAAAAATGCGAAACAACGGGGCAGAGTACAGATCAAACTCGACAGTACGGAAATAATTGAAACGGCAGCTTACATCTATTTATTAGTATGGCATTCGTTATACTGTGTTTTCCAATTTGTCAACAATGAAGCTTCAGTAAATAACCAATTCCGATTCCATTATCGAACAAATGAATTGCTCCAAATGATAATATACGTTTAATCGTTATATGTATAGGTATCCGTACCGAAGTTCGCGATTGTTCATTTACTTTTAAGTTGGATGATTATTAAATAAAAACAATGACGAAGCATTCAAATTTTAATAGTTATTAAATGTTATACATATATTCTTGTACAAAATTTCAGACAATTTTCAATATTTTTGATTCAGGCAACGACTACCTTAAGGAAAAGGAAAGTACCATAATATATTGAGTGTAATTTTATATTTTCATTTAAATAAATAAAGTTTAATATTAAAAGTACAGTTTCGTTAATAAGGTATTCCTTCGTCAGACAAGCACGGCTTCTTATCTTTTCGAACAGTTCGGCTATTGAACGTCCTATTCTACTGTACTGTACTGCAGAGGTTATCAAGTAGAATAGGATCGAACTGATCAGACATCTCGCTCGGGCCGCCGCGCAGCACGTGTGGAAAAAGGTAAGTAGGTTACGATAGCTAGCAGAGTCGCGAACGTATAGCGTATGATCGAAAAGGCTGGCAAGTAGCGAACTGAATGTCGAGGCAACCCAGCGTTTTGCTAGTGCAACAGCGACAAGGTCAAGGGTAAAGGTGTCTCCAAGATCCAACGATGTGACGAGGCTGGTTTAAGGTCGCTCTCGCTTGAATTCCGTGACCCTATATACTGGGTGAGTCGCCTAACATTTGCACCTCAAGTACCTTTAAAGATACGTCAATTGTTTTATGAATAAAGTTGATCGGTTCAGTGGGGCTCACACGATACCAAAAATATTTTTGTGATTATGTCATTTTTTTAGAGACATGAATGTCACCTTCATTTATTTAAATGGAACCACCATTTGAGGTGCAAACGTTAGGCAACTCACCCTGTATACAGAGTGTCGCCGAAATCGTGGCACGAGCCGCGCCACGCCGGGTGACGGTGCTAAAAAAATAAATCGAGAATCGTTGTTTTTTCAACGTTCGTTTTCGTGAAAAATAAGTTTTTTATCAAATAGCAAACACGTGAAGTTTCGACATTTTTCTACTCGCGATGATAGTTTGAAATATAGCCGACGATAACAGTAATGCTGCAAAACAAAGTCTAACATTGTTAACGTATATAAACGAAAGAACAGTTAAGGAAATGTCAAAACTTACAATTAGCACACACATACTTACACAGTAAAAACATGTTATTCTTTTTTTCGAGTACTTTGTGCCTGTGGAATTACTACTCTACTATAATTTCACGATCTTACTACTGTTTTACATAAACGAGAGCTCTCTCAAAATTCCAATAAGTTTTAAGTTATAAGAGTAGAAGAAACGTAAACTCATTTCAACTTTCGTTTTATAGACAGTTTTATAGAGATCTCATTAAATTACGCAATTAGTATGAACTGATTGGATTTCGTAGTTGATAAAACGAAGTTCTCCAAAGCGATCGATATCGACCCACTGGGGATCGATATAACATTACTAGAGGTCCAGTCGGGCCAGGGGTTTGATTGGGAGTCGATAACTTGAACGTGGAATTCTGATACGATTTAAGACTAAAACCAATTCTCACGCGTCGCTACTGATCGTCAGTCAAAGATTATTAAAATGACGATAAAACATTTTGAAATGATTGATTATAAAAAAAAGTTTACAACCCTTGGCGCTTACTGCCCGACGTGGTAAACACAATAGTACGAGATGGAACAGAGATATTAAATATTACGTACTTCCTGTCTGACCTACTTTCGCATTTAATTTAAAGAGCCTAATAATTCTGTACTACGTGCAATTAATGCGATCAACGGGGACATTGAAAGAATTGACGTCGTGTTTCGTGATCAGCTCACATTGGGAAAACTCAGGGACGCCTGATGCATATCGTTAAATATGCATACGAGAACGTTACCGTCAGGCAATGATGTAAAGAAAATCGTGAAAATGAAAAAAAAAAAAAAGAACCAGCCTCGAGGAATGAGCTCTGAGCTCTGGAGACCTATATGTGCTCTCTCCTTTAAATGCTAAGGTCGCTCTCCGTGACGTCTACGTACATACGTATGTATAACCGAGCGACCTAGTCTACCGCGACCACGGCTACCCTCCGACCTGACCCTAGACCTAAACAGCGATACAAAATGATGTCTCCAGCTAGTCTGCGATCAATTGGTAACGAGTAACGCGCATTAGGACCTACCACCGCTTCTCCGTAAGCGTCCATGACTTAATGTTCGAACCCGTCCACCCTTCATCGCGAATATCGATCGTCCCATCCACACGGAATTCCAGTGTAATCGCTTTCGAAAGCAATATTCGTGGCGTGAGTCTGGGGCTCGACTCCGACGGGATGGATGGCTCGACAACAAACCACCGAGGCGAGCGGCAAGCGCACCCAGCGACGCCGACGCGACGCTACATATAGCGAGGCGTCGCGACGCCTGCGCGGGTTTCCCGCAACGATCAGCTGGCTGGAAAGCTCGTGCAAGCGGCGAAGAGAGGCCTAGAAAAGGACAGAACCAGAGCATAGAAGCACGAGTCGAAATAGGATAGCGATAGACGTGCGAGCGAGAGGAAACGAGCGTCGATGGATTATCAGTAGCGATGTCGATGGTGGCTACGTCGGCAGCTACCCGCGTTACGTTTTCGTGAAACCGTTTCGTCGGTGGCGGTGAGCCCTTGGCCGCAAAGAGTTCCTCGCAACGATGGTGTCGATACCGAGCGCGACGTCGACATAAGCGCGAGCCGGGGCCGCGCGTGACGGTCGACGACGGTTCCGTTTCGCGCAGTGCCGCCGTGTCGGTCGATCGAAGCGCACCGTTGAAAACCTGGGAACCGCGACGTAACTTCCATCTTTAACGACCGCATGATGCATCGGCCCGGCTGCCACGTCGTCGTCCCCTGCCCTCCGTTCACGTCCCTCGAGGACCGCACCAGCTTCGGGATGCTCGTCCACCGTTGGCTCCCAGCGTGAAAGGTTGCTGCCCGAATTGCTACCCCAGAGCTAGTAGTCTGGACCAACCACTGAACCGTCACCCAGTCGCCTTCTACTCGATTCGCAAATAATCCCACAGCCTGGTACTATTTCCATTGGAACGTGACAGAGAAAGGAGTCGGGGATCGTTCGAGGTAGAGTCTCGCTGCTGCGTTTTTTTTTCTCCACGGGTACTCGTACTTGGAGAGTGACCAGGGTAATCAGTGCGTGGCATCGATTACACATCGGAGAAAAAGTATAAATGGCATAATCGAATAGCCGGAGTTCGACGAGAGCAGTCCAGTTTTGTTGCAGCTGCGTACCATCGAGAAGATCCTAGTACTCGTCGATAAACGCGCTCGTGAAACGAGATACCAGCGTCGACGCCGCGGTAAGTACCAAAACAAATACGCCGCGGAAATCGCGAGAAGTTCTCGCGCGAGTTTTCTGTCATTAAGGGAAACGAAGATGGAACCGGGTTTTGGCCGCCGCCTAGGTCGCCTCGTTCGCGAGGGTTCGTTGACACGTCGGCTGGAAGATCGGCTCGAGACACCACTGGTCGCCGAAAAAGGTCACCAGTGATATAAATATAGAAGCGGACGTCCGCGGACGAGACGACACCGGAAATACGAAGAGGAGGACGGCCGAAGCGTGGCTGTCGGCCGTGTCCGTGAATCGATACTCGAATTTTTCGGCCCGGTACTTATTAATAGAATTTTACGCTGGTGATGCACGGAAGAGAATACCAAAGAGATTGTGTCGTGTGCGCGAACTGAGAACCCGAAGTACAGAACTTGTCCCTACGAACGTTTTACACAATCATCGCGTCGAATCCTGGTGACAGACTGTATGGACTGAATCGAAAATAAATATCTGCCACGATTGCAATAAACCGGCTCATTCAAGAATTTGTAACAAATGAAACATCGGTATAAGCTGAGCCTCGTAAAGCTAGGCGTACGGTCCCATGTGTGCCTGAACATACCGTGTCCAAGAGATTCTTCTTACGATATTCCCGACCTGAAAGAACAGCCACGTACTGAACAGAACTCGTACAGAGAGTAATAAAAAGCAAGATTCGAGTGCTTCGATAGAAAGGTTTTAATCCCTTCGAACAGCAGGAGCCACTTACGCCACAGGTTCCTCGTTGCTCCCTTCTGATGGTACTTAGGGTGACTCAGAATCGGTGGACGAGCGCGTGTGAACAGCGCGGTCCCCGTGAAGAACACGAACACCGTCGCCGACTAACGTCCCTATGGCTCCACGTGTCCTTTCCAAGACGATGATCGCGTTCATCATCTTCGTGGCTCTCTGGCCCCCCGGCCAGGCTGGTCTGTTGAAATTCTACGAGTCTGTTCCGGATCACATGGAACCGGAGAGACGAGCCCCTGTCAACGATTATTCGATGCACGGACCGATAGTCGACGACCATGAATTGCCACGAGATCTCCGTGAACCATATCCAGGGAAGAGCTTCGGGCCGATGGGTCCCATCGATGGTTCTCTACCGGACGACGTGTCCTTTCGGAGCTTGTCATCGGGGCAAGGTCAACAGGGTGGCAATTCGATCGAGCACATGGCGTCCCACGCGGTCAAGGAGGCCAACGGTGACCATGGGCACGCGAAACCAGAGTACAACATTATCGCCGTTGAGTTTCACCGCGTGGAGACGCCATTCGTCATCGGGATATGGATCTTCTTCGCCAGCCTCGCGAAAATAGGTATAGTACGCGCGGAATCTGAATTTGAAACCTGATCGAATATCTGGTCGTCCGCTGGTTTCGCTGGTAGCTGCCTGTGGTCGGTTGTATCAGAGGCGAACCATACTTTTAACCATTGGTCACCGAATCGTTTCGGAGGATCAATTCCAATTGTAATTAAAGCTGCGGACGAACCTAATTGATAGACCGTAGATTTTATTCGATTATAAAAAAATTCGATGTGCAGAAAATATGAAATGAATTCTCGATCTAAATTTCATTTCTTAAATTGAAAACGCAAATGTTTCAGTTTGCATTAAAATCCGCAGCCTACTAACTGAGCATCTTTGTAATTTTCGGTAACGGTACGTTTATTAATTGCATTTCGACCGGTTGAATATTCATTTTGTTTGCTTGGCTATGAACTACTAAATCGAACCGTGTACTCCTGTTTTCAATTGTCCCCAATTAACGTAATTGCGATTAAACTACGCGATTGTCCAATGGTATATTTCCACTCATTAGGCATTAATCCACGGACGTAACGCGGTTACATAAACCACCGGGTATTAGGTTCGTATTAAACTGTATAAATAGCGGCACACTGTGTTACAATATGCATCAGCGCCGATGTCTACGCAGAACGTTTCCTCGCCGTGAATAACAGTGTTCAGAAAATTTAATGGAACATCCACAAACTACCGGCTCGGATAATAGCATAAGTTTCTTCTTGTTTCTCACCCAGTAGCATCGATCGCTGTTTGCGACACGCGCTAAGCTCGCGCCGTAAAAACGCTTTTTATAGATTCTCTGCATTTTACACGAACAAAAACACCCATGATCGCCTCTCATTACGCGAGCCAGCGTCTGCTAAAAATTCATTCGCGCGTAAGATATAATTTGAATCATTTTATATACTCAGGCCTGTTTTGATCCACCCGTCAAAGATAAGAACGAGCTTCCAGGACGAGCCAATATTATTCAGACATATTATTTGCCGCGATTATAGAACAATGAACTGGGCAACAATCTACCATCCGACGCGATTGCGGTCTAACCAACGGCGTTTCGATGAACCCGGTGACACGCATTGTTTGCAATAAATTATTCGACGTGCAATAAATTGGCAAACGTACTACTTAAATCAGTAACGCATCAAGCATTGTTCCCGCAAATTGCCATCCGGGTAAAAGCGTGCATCGTTAACACTCAGACCATCGGGGACAAAGGCGCCAATTTCACGCCGCGTTTGTAGCAGAAGGTTCAAAAGTGGCGCCGAGCGAGGGTTAATAATAATAACCGAACGAGAAAAGGGTCGTCACCGGGTTTCTCCCGTTCCGTCTGATCGAAACCGAACGGGCAGCCAGCGCGTGCTCTCTGCCGACGCTGCCATTAAAAAAATGCGTCTGCAGGCTTCCACATGACACCGAGGCTCAGCAAGATCTTCCCGGAATCCTGCTTGCTGATCGTAGTAGGCGTCGTCGTCGGCGTATTGCTGTTCCAGGCGAGCAGCGTCCACGTGTCGCCCTTAACGCCGGACACGTTCTTCCTCTACATGTTGCCGCCCATTATCCTCGACGCCGGCTACTTCATGCCGAACCGGTTGTTCTTCGACCACCTGGGGACGATACTGCTGTTCGCCGTCATCGGGACTATATTCAACACTTTGTCGATAGGTCGGTACTATTGGAGAAAATTGTTAAATGTCATTTAAGACCCAGTGACATTTCCCTATTTACCCGAAGGTTCCCATAGTTCGTCGAAATTTCTACGCAGTACTTCGAATCGAGACGATCCCGATCGATGTCATTACGAATCGGAACGTAATTCCGTCGAATCAATTGAATTTTAGGTCATATTTACATTCGGGCGTTTACCGTTGCGCTTATTATACTCCCCAAGTATTCAACCGGTTAATGAGGGCATAATTACAACTCAATTACGGTGAAAGACGTGTTACATAAGCAATTTGCGAAAACAACGTGTTTCACGTTAAATAAATAAACGAGTAAAACGTAGTGTAGATAAATTACGTGTTCTACACCTTCAACTTCTTTTCGTTATAACGTAATTCTTCGTTCGCTGAAAGACAATACATATACGATACCTATTTCGTTATTATGTAAAATTTATTATATTATTCCTTATCTTGTGAAACGATAAAACCATAAACAAGTACTTAACGATACAACAGAATTCATATGCTTATTATGCCCTGCTATTAGCGTATCTACGTCGTGTCTGAATTGACTTATTTGAAAAACCACCTATGCAAAGTATTTGCGAACTGTGACGACGTATATACGTAGCACATTTTAGCTTCTACTCGCTTTTAACACAGTAACTTTTGACTTAGGACAGATTTAAAACTTTTACGTCTTTTTTTTATTTTCGTGCAGACTGGAAAGTTTTACTTTTGGCACAGTAACTTCTAAGTCGACTTGATTTAAGAACTTTGTTTCTTTTTTTATGTTTTACAAGCGGATCGCTACGTACGGTAGATGAGGTAACTTTCTTCGAAGCATAAATTCAGATATTTCCTTGATTGAAGCTATTTTTAACGAATTCGTGGAAGCAATTTTAATTTTCATTTTTCCATGCCGACAAGTTATGTATTCGACTTCTGTGTGCTGATATTTTTACGAAACGTTTGTATAAGCATTCTCAAGTGGGCGAGACTGCTTAAGGTTTAAGGGATTATTGACGCAGGCTCAAAAAGACTTCTTCAGCTAACGTTAGCAGCTTTTCACGCCTTAGAATCGCGGAAAGGCACTTTAACGAACTAATTACCTACTCCTCTGAATGAAATAAAAAATTCGCTCCTAGTTAAGTGCTAAACTCGGTTCGTGTAGTATTCATTGATCGTGCCTCAGGGAGATTCACACGTGCCTCAAAACACTGAAACTTTAATAATATTAATAACGACACGCGATAAGAAAACACCAATTTAATACTTCTCGCAGAATTCCCAGTCAGCATTATTGACAAAAATCCGTATGTCAAACATCTGAACACTACCGAAGACATTGAAGTAGCTGACGTTCCTCCGACACGTGCTTTAAAACGCTGAAGCTTTCATAACACTAATAACAACACGCGATAAAAAAATAAAAATTGAATATTCATCAGAGAATTTCCAGTCAGCAATATTCACAAAAATCCGTATGTCAAACATCTGAACATTACCGAGGACATAAAAATAGCTGACGTTCCTCCGACACGTGCGCATATAAAACAGTTCGACAGGTTTTAAATAAGAAAATCAGATGATAGATAATCGTGAGCTTTAAATAGACATTTCTAACAGAATTCTGTTTAACAGATCCAAATAATCTCCTTCTCCATTATCAAGCAACTATAAATAGAGAATATATAATATGTACAACTATTTCCTTTCAGTGTCTTCTATTTTCGTATCGACTACTATACATATCTCTTCCACTCGCGTTCGTCCACCCTTTCGCAAAACGCATTTCGAAATCGGCACACGCGCGAACAGAGTCAGAGTGAAAACACACGGACATCGAACCGCCCACGCGATTTCTGTTTACGGCACTGCGTGCTCCGCGGAAAACGCCGCGTTGCGAAACGACGCGTCCGCGACTTCCCCGCGGTGGAACGAACGGCGATCTCATTAATTATAGATCGCGGAACCGATGACCTACATCCGTTATTATTATCGATGAATTAATGTTACGTTCGTGAACCCGTGCCGAGGAATTTCTGAATGACGACTTCTCGTCCGAAGTATTGCAATTAATTCGATGATTTAAATAAAATTAAATTGATTTGTATAGAGTTCCTGGTAACATTGAACATCAGTGATTCGCTATGCATGAAGGAAATTCGAAATCGTCTTTCTTATATAAAAATATTTATTTCGTCATGTATAATAAGTCCTTCCATTCCTCGTCCTTTGAGAGAATTGTTCGAATACATTTTATCAAAGAGGTATCTGTTTAATATTTGATATTTTGTTGATCACTCGTAGGCGCCTCGTTGTGGGTATTAGGTAAAAGCGGTCTTTTCGGCTTCGAAACGCCCCTCCTGCAGATGTTCCTCTTCTCCGCGTTGATCAGCGCCGTCGATCCCGTTGCCGTGCTCGCTGTCTTTGAGGAAATTCATGTGAACGAAATCCTGTACATCGTCGTGTTCGGGGAGAGCTTGTTGAACGACGCTGTCACTGTTGTAAGTATCCATCTCGAGTTTCCGAGAGAATTTAGCATTACCACCGAGAAGAGATTAGATAGTTGGCAGACATAAAAAAGGTCCTATCCAATTTCCTTATAAGTCTTCTTGTTAAAAAGTAATTGACGATGAAGGCAATAATTAATTAGTCCTGAAGTATTCGAGATGGAAGAAAATTGTATATTTGTATGACATTCTTTGCAGATAATAGCAGTACCTACAACTTTTATTTGAAGTATTATTCCAAATTTTGAGAAAAAAATTGTTATTTTTCCGAGATTTTGTCAAGGGGTACCCTTCTAGATTATTGCAAATAACTGCTTACCTGTTGCCGCTATAGGAAAATATGTTTTATACAAAATTTGTATCTCTACCTGTCACCTGCAAATGTTACCGACTGTATTTTCAGCCCTAACAACGTGCGTAAGAAATGACGCCGTTCGAAGCATGAAAGAATTGTCAGACCGGGTATAATTAAGCCGTTCCATTGTCCTATTTACTAAAGACCCTAATCTCTCCCGTAGCGACGTGACATCGTTTAATCAGCAACAGCTGATTGAGTGGAGGCTGTTTGATAATGACACGCAGGTGCTGTACCATATGTTCGAGACGTACAACGAGATAGGACCGGCGAATATACTTTACACGGACTTGTTGTCGGGTCTGGCTTCGTTCTTCGTGGTGGCGATCGGCGGGACGATAATAGGGGTGATCTGGGGCTTCGCCACGGGTTTCGTTACGAGATTCACCGATCAGGTTCGGGTGATCGAGCCCATATTTATATTCGTCATGGCTTACCTGGCCTACCTGAACGCCGAGATTTTTCACATGTCCAGCATACTGGCGTGAGTATATCGATCTGTTTAAAAAACACACGTTCGATCCAAGTTTGTTCATTATGAAACAAGGTCGGAGGGACGATTCTACTTTAAAGGTAATTGGAAAACTTTCTGGTGGGATTGTAATTAGTATTTTTAAAGATCTTTGATAACTCTTTTAATTGGAATACTCGTCCCTTTGATTGTTGCAAAAACTCCAAATTTCTCATAAATTACATGTAATAATAACTTATTACCATTTATATATATAATGTTTCGTTGGGTATTTACTTTACGAATTATTTCATCAGTATTTATGCGTGTGAAATGATCTAATGGAGAATGTTTAATCATCATCAAAATTGCCTTCATTAAGACTGCTATGACTCTCTGATATCACGCTATATGTATTGTCGTATTAATCTTCCCTAGTAAACGTCCAGAATGAGACTATTAATGTTACCTTACTAAATTCATGGTGATCAAACGGAATGCGTATCGAAGTGGCACTGCGACAGTAGTATTGTATATTGCGAACACTGGCAAACAGCGTGTACACTTCCCTTGTTTACTCCAGCCCGTGCTTGACCAGTGTGGCCCCGAAATTTTCGGACGACTCATTTTTCGACACGCAATAAATTGCCAAAACGACTTCGCCCATTTTTAAATTTCGTAGGGACGTAAATGTTTCAGCTTCGCGTGCAGCCCATCGATTGATCGACACGCTTTTAATCAACCCCGCCGAAATCGTTCGCTGAGTGACCAAGCTTTTCGCGCTTTCACCACCGAACTTGTGAAAAGCAGGAGATAAAAATTTGTCGGAGAATCGCTCTGTGATTTGATCGGTAAAAGTCCGGTTTTATGCGAAAGGAAAGGACGATCGGTGAACGATGAAAATGCATCGGGTGCTTTATACGATGACTATCGCGACTCTTGTTAAGTCATTTATACATTAACCGGTGAAGTCAGAAGCGAGGATGATCGATCCGGATGCAAAGTACGCCCCGTGCAATAACTGTTCAAATATGCTTAACCCGTAATCGACCGGTTCTTGCTCGGTACCCGTGATTTTTATTTATACGATTAAACAGAGCTTCCGCTTTGTTTGACTGGCAAACAGACGAGTTTCAACCACATGCCTGTTGGCCGTGACACGATTTTAAATCGACGATTATTTGCTTAAAACGTTTTAAGGCAGTAGTCGCGAGAATTCAGTTCCTTACGACCTTCTTTAAACTGTAACTGTACGTTCATGCCACCTAAATAAAACTTCCTTTCTGCTCTCAGAGCTCTCATTGTCAGCAAGAAATACAGATGATGTCTGTGTACCCATAGACAGCGAACTTTTGAATCCTATTGTAACAGGAGTACTACTTCAAGATAGGACTGTTTGGACAGCGAAGTAAAAGTCAACACCAATTGCTTCAAACAGAGAGAACATATTTTGCCTTCGCTTCTGAATTAAACTTTTATTCCCATGATCAAGTTATACACTTTCAATCAATATAATTCATTGTGGAACTTCGTGTCGCTTCGAATTAAAAATTTTTGTGCTGCTGCGAACAAGTGAATCAGGTATAGAAGCTCGGAGCTCGTAAAGTAGCTAAATGAATCCGGACAGGATAGGATAGGGCAGGACTGGACTGGACGGTATATGTACGAATTTGCAGCGTGTCGAACGACGGTGGCCGCGGTCACGTCCCGCTCGTAAATTCGAATCGACGTCGTCGTCGGACCGTCGATTTCGTAAACGCACGGGATCGTACGTTCGAATTAATTTCGGCGACGCGACGTTTAGGGAGCGAGCGAACGATCGATACAAGCTGGGAGAGAGGACGGCCCATCGTCATCCCCTCGCGTCCGACCTCGTCGCGTTACGTTCTCTCGCCCCTTAAGGGCTAGTCACGTGACTTGCCTAACGTTCGTCCATTTCCTCCGTCTCATCGCGAGCCAGGCAGAAACGTTGTAAAATATGGTTTTACCAGAATTTCCACACCCTCGGCGTATCGTCGATCAGTCGTGATCCCTATTTGTCGACAGGATCACGTTCTGCGGCATCACCATGAAGAACTACGTCGAGGCGAATATATCGCACAAGTCTCACACGACCGTGAAGTACACGATGAAAATGCTGTCCAGCAGCTCGGAAACCATCATATTCATGTTCCTCGGGGTGGCTACGGTGAACAATCGTCACAACTGGAACACGTGGTTCGTCGTGATGACCATCGTCTTCTGCTCGGTCTATCGAATCGTCGGTGAGTAACGCGTCAAGGTCGGTGTTCGTATCAGTCACGGTCGGCTATCACCAGCGTGACAGTAATCGCGTCGTAGTACTAGTCGATCGTTAACCGACTTGATCGCATGTACGTAGTTGTGTGCCGTGTGTCTAACAGTAAGTAGGTACGATTTCAAGTGGACGATCCAGAGAAGAGGGAGAGAAAGTTCCTAATTGCATTAAAGACCGATAAGAGTGGCTTAGGCTGAACCGATCATGGCTTATCGCTTGTCAAGCAGATTATGCGATCGTGCCAAGAGCATATCGTTTCTTGCGCTTTGATATTTCGTTTTTTGCGGGATAATAAGAGGCCCGCTGGAAGAGGGTAGCGTGCCAAGTGGCAAGCATTGTTTTCCTATTTTCCGTGATTCCAGTTGGCTGGTACATGAAACAGAATCCTGTTTTCGTAAACGTTTTCAAATTGCTTGTTAGAAATTAAAAGAAGGAAATATTAAAATGAAATCTTAAAACAGGAAAAGAATCTTGATATTGATCCGAATGTTCCAAGAACGTCATCAGAATCTCGGCAAAAATAGTTCAGTTTCTCGACCTTATTATCTTAATAGTCAATACCGAAATTGATACTAGCGATTGGACGAGCTTCTGAGAAAATGCTTCTGAAGAAGCTAAAACCGTCTTACTATCTTCGATCAAATTACGAAATATACCTTGAAACGCTCTTAACAGGATTCGCTAGTCTCCTTCCGTAACCAGCAGTTTACATCACGGCTTACCGTCACTGGCTTACGGCTTCCTGTTCCATCGACAGTTTATCGTTAAATCGTTGCCCATTGGTGGACACTTAAAAAATTCATCGCCTTTAAACGCTCCGAACATTCGGTTATTTGGAACTAGGCTTTCCGATCTAAAAAATTGTGTAACGATTATGAGATTTAGTAGACGTAACAGTTGCCAAAAACAACAGATTTGAGAAACAACTCGAATCTGTCTAACGGAAGTTCGAAAGAATATAAGACGCGATTTTTATTCGAAGCTCTCGATAATAACGCAGACTCGAATGAATTAATAGATGTCGTTAATAAATTAACGAAATGTGCTCGTTAGTAGCAACGCTGACTCGAATTGAAATTGGGTTCCAGGCGTGATCTTCCTGACAGCGTTGGCTAATCAATTCCGGTTGCACAAGCTGGACAAGGTCGAGAAATTCGTGATGTCTTACGGTGGCTTACGAGGTGCCGTAGCGTTTGCTCTGGTTCTGCTAATCGACCCGAGACACGTGTCGCTCCAGCCAATGTTCGTCACTACCACGATCGCAGTCATCTACTTCACGGTGTTCATACAGGTAAGTCGACGACGCTACAGCGCTGTCCACTTAGACAGCTTTAAAAAAGACGAACACGTCGTTCAGTTTTATAACTATTTACGGGGAGATTTATAAAACTGTTCGACGATCATTTTTCTCATAAGTTTATCGTTTAAAATATTACACATAGATTTTTTCGGTCATGTTTCTCAAACTTTTCGCAGAGGTCTTACGGCCTGTACGACTTTAAAAGAAATCATTTAAGTAAACAACAGAGGTTTATGCATTACGCTCTTTTCCCCATATAGTAAGAACATCGTTGCTTGTAGTTACCATCGAGAACTCCGATCTCGGTTATGTTTCTTTTTACGTTTTGCCATTATAACTTCACGTTGCTTCCGTTTTATGTCTTTCGTCGGGATTATCTCCGATGTTCCCCGGAATTGTTTCACAGACAACGGTTGTTTAAACCAATGGAGTTCAACGTTCCCTTCCGTCGCCGCTGTGTCGGCGCTCTGTTCCACCGTTCAAAGTTTAAATTAAACTTCACGATAATAATGCATGATGCACCCGAACGTCGGCGTTGTGTTCCCGCGGACAGTCGGGAGAAAAAAAAATAGGAGAGGCTGCCCCGATTCGGTGGAAGCGAAGCGATAGTGGGAATACAACCCCTTTCTCTAAATCAACATTTCTCCTAAATAGCCCGCGAGAAGTAAACTTGGAGAAATGTTGATTCAGACTCGAAAACCATTCACTCCCCGAAGCTATTCTTACGAATTTTCTCAGACTACCGTCAACCCTAATAAGTACGAAGTGTAGAAACCGAGCGGATCGAACTTTCGATAAATTATGTTTAGAAACTCCGAAAGAAGGTTCCAGTATTGACAATTATTGGCGAATGTAGAAAAACCGAAAGGAGGTAGAACTTGAGGAATGAGTCTGACTTGATTAACGGTACTCCCTCGTTCGGCTATAGGTAGAAAAAATTTTAAAGAGTGATTCTACAAAGGCAAAAGTAACAAATAATAAAATTACAAGCGAGATTCCACTTTGCAGTTGTCTCTCTACAACGTACGTCTAAATGCCTAGATGTAAATCTAAATTAATAATCGATACCTGTTGCGGTTAGGACCGCCAGGTATAAAAATAAATTTTACTGAAGGGTAGCAAAATTTGTCTGGTATTTCTAGCTGCGAGAATCTGGAGCGGGTTTTTAATTCGTTATCCTCCAGTAACATGGCCTCTTTCGAAAATATTCTGTTCGTATTTCAAACTTGTATTGTAGTTCGTAATAAATTGCACTCTCTTTTCCACCGTAACAGCTCGTAAAACGTCCCCATCGAATACATATTACACAGTGCACGTTCCAATCACCGATAACTACCTAATGACATTTCATAAAAGCAGGCGACGAAACGACGCTGGAAAATAATATACGTCACAATCTGTGATCACGGTTACCGCTGGTGCATTATTACAGCGCATGCCTGCCTGTTTATTACTCGCTTTGGTCACTTTGTCATCATAGACAACTGCGAACGAAGTCGCCGTTATGACGATCACTCGCGACGTCTGCCCGGCTAGAAATACCGCGTACTGTAACAGCGCTATAACATTTCCCATCGTAATGGTAAAACCGCGTGGGCCGCCACGTGGAGAGGATCCTATTCTTCTTTTATGCCCGTCTGCCATGCGATACGGAACCGAGAGGACGAGCTTGCCAGCGCGTGCCTCGCGATTTGCGTGAAAAATAATAAAGCGACACGTGTCCCTTTCCCAGCCGTAATTACTCGCACGAATCTCTACGAAAGAATTTCGCTCAGGACTTTTTTTATTAATCCTGTTATAAACATGCTGTCGGCGTTGACCTGCCTTTACGCAACGCCTATCGATTTCTCGTATCTAATTTAAAATACTACTACCTCAGAGTTATGCGTATCATACATACATGCATCGAATGAGAGAACTTCCTCTCGACATTTCGCGGTGTAATGAATTTATGGAGATTTCTACCAGCCGATCTTAACAATTTTTCCTCTGAAGGAAAGAAATATAGGATCCGGTCTTTAATTATGAAATGACAGTTTCAAAACAAGAACACTTGAAAACGTAAGGTTGACTTTAATGTATGGAATTATAAAGCAAATATCATTTCGGTACGAATAATTAATTATAGTAATTTCATTTCTATATTAAGATAGAAAGTAACTTGAAGGACAAGTCTGTCGTGATTCATTAACGTTTCCTGCATAATTATTCGTTCTCATTTTTGCTCTGACTATTTCAACGGAATTAAACAGGATCTGAAAGAGAGCGGACGGTAAATAGAGTAGGAGTAATTAGACTGCAAAAGGTTAAAGCCCCCCGAGCCGAAAGGGAAGAAACAAAAAAAATACGTCGCTCCTGCTCTCATCCTGAAGGCGCGCCCTGTTTGCGATCACCATAGAGCCTGGCTACGAGTTTCCATTAATTCTAAAAACACTATCCAGTTTGCTGCCCAATCGATCGGAAATTCAATATCGATGACATGCTACTGTAACATCCGCTCGGAGCTCGTGGTTACCGTTTATATTATGAGTTATGCGCGGAAAATATCGATAAGGGTCGACAATGCTGCGAGACGTCCAAAGTAAAATGAACTGGCAATGTCGATACTAGACTTTAAAGATAATGTCATGGGTACTTGACAGAACGCATATTTAAGGTCTCAATTTCATCTCACGATTTTTACTCACTGCCTTATATTTCTACAATTTTTTTCACTTTCCCACAATTTCAACGATAATGAACTGATTGCTTTCTGAGCCCTTCATTTGGTGTATTCAAATGTCTGACCGACTCATCAGTAACTTAACGTTGGATGTATTCTGGCAGTGACCGATCGTCATGTCTCGTCGACCCCCGTTCTAATGACCCTCGCAGAGTGAAATACTTCCTGTCAAGAGTATCTGTTTCAGGGTATCACGATCAAGCCCCTCGTGAAGATTCTGAACGTGAAACGAGCCGAGAAGAAGAAGCTTACCATGAACGAGAGGATCCACGAGCGGGTATGTAATACGTAGCTACACAGAGTTAATTGTCTCCGTGCGATAAGTATCTCTCGGCTCGATAACGAGCTGCAAGCGCCGGGACGTTTTACTCGATCGGTTAATGAACAGTATGCACATGCACAGAAGGCGATAAAAAAAAAAGTGGCACGCGCCTGCTGTATAAATTGTAGAGAACGCGTGGTTATACGCCCTTATCGTTCAAGCAAATATTGAAAAAGAGTAGCGAGCTGCGATACAGAGTGAAATCAATAATCGGTCGCCGTCGGCGTGCACGGGAAGATTGCATTGATTTTCACCGGGAGCCACCAGCCGCTTTTGCAAATGAACGTGTCGCCAGGGAAGAACAATGTGCCCAGATACATAAAACCCGTAGTGAGCAGCTTCACGATTTCGTACACTCCCGTCCGCAAATCTCCCGAAATCGACTTGGACCATGGACTCTTAAGAGAAAATAACGATAGATGATACTAAGTGACATTTCATTAATTGGTAGAATATCTTCTTGTATTGTCCTACAATTTTCTGTATAATCTGATTGTAATTTAAAAATCGTGACTTATGGACGAGGAGGTACTCCTGTTTTTACGTATATTTCCTCGACGTATGCATTTATTTGCTGATGGAATAAAATAACCGTGAGATGAATCCGACTGAGTGAATGTCGTCTTCGTTTGCAGATAATAGACCACGTGATGGGCGGGATAGAAGATATTTTAGGCAAACACGGCAACTACCACGTTCGAGACAAGTATGCATTATTTCTATAACAAATTATATACTACACGTCGTATCGTACATTCTACTTCGACAATGAGACAGTTTAAAGTATAATGGAAAATGTAAGAGAAGGATTTTAACTTCCTCTAACAGGATGACTCATAAACGCTCAATTTCGGATGCATTAATTTTTAATAAAGAAATGGTTTTATGATCGTACATATATTTTTTATTCTTATTCATACGGTACGAAATTGAAAATGTTCGAGAACCCCTGATGATCCTGATCGTCTTATATCTGATCATAAATCACTCTTTACGAGAAGAATTAAGTGTTCATGATGTAATATAAAGATTTGTGCTCGTTTTATTTAATTCTCGCTCCTTTCGCCCTCGTCTTGCAGGTTCAAACGGTTCGATAACAAATTCATTCGACCGTACTTGCTGAGGAATCACTACGGAGCCGAGCCGAAAATATTGGAAACGTACTCGAAGCTAGCGATGAAAGACGCGCTGGATTATATTAGGAGGAACGCGTCGACCATTGGCAATATCAGCGGAACCGAGAGCATGTCCGCGATATTCCGCAACTACAGCAACACGGGACAGTTCAATGGAAGGTATGCAGCTGCTTTCTCCTCTCACATTTTTTTCTCATTCAGCGCATCTCTTTCTTCGTCGCGTCCCGGATTCGAATTATCTTGGTCGTAGTTGACCTGCTTGCCTCGACAATAAGAAACCGCAGGAACGTTTCTTTGATCGCACGGAGTTCCGTTGAAAATATATACAGTACGTGTATATTAATTATCGGCGAAAGTTCTCTATCAAGATGAAAAAGTCGCGTGGAGATCAATTCCTTTGAGCTCGATATTCCCAGTTCAACGCTTTGTTTACTTCGTTTACAATAGATCAACCTCGCGCACCAGCTAAGAAGCGAGTCTTTCGTATAAAAATATCTCCCTATATTTCGCGACCCGTGAAACGCGGTGAAAAGTGTATCGGCGAGAATCTCATTTTTATCTTATTCACGAATCATTATGCTTGCCCGGTAACAACGAGTAATTTCTATCGCTATAAAAATTCCGCTACCATCGAAGAAAATCGAAGGGGGATAGAACGTCGAATAGCTTCCATCCGGATACAATGTCCCGTAATGTTCCCCTCGGCTTTGCCAGACTACGCCGTAGTAGCGTATCTATCCCTCGCCCATGATTCACCACCCCGTATACTTACACATCCCGCCGGCCGAGGAACATAACCGAAGACAAGTCTGCATTGTGTATCTCGATTGTGCCGGCGGGCTCTCTCCTCGGGGGCAGACGAGTATCGATCTTCAAGTGGCAACCCGTCATAAAATGCAGTCTCATTCTTTCTCCTTCCAGCCCGAGTTGCAGCCAGCTCGAAGCGGGCTGGAATATTGATCTCCAAGAACTAGAGTACAACCCTTCCAAGAAGGACCTGACGGACGCCAGGATCCACCACCTATTGGCCGAGGAACTATGCAAGCCTTACAAAAGGGTAAGAAACCCTCGCGCTAGCTGAGCCACACATTTTTATATATGTATATATGTAATATGCATCGGACAGTCCGTGGCCCTGAGAAGTTTGCTGACGAGGATCGTTTTGGATAACGATATCGTGTATCGGGATCTTCAGTTTACGAGTAGCCCCCGGATGGATACGTGGCCATCGATTGAGCATGTATCCGGAGGGGTGAATTATTTAGAATGGAAAGTGTAAGAATTAGTAGGGACGACTCGCGGCCACTCACTGGATTCCGTATATCGTTAAAGAACTCGAGCCCAATTTCGATGTGACTAGTAGCGATTCTACAAGAATAGATTTCAGTTTTTATGCGCTGCTTAATTTTATTTATTGTATATCTAGAACTGGCGAAACAACGTTAATTAGATTAGTCGGAGTCGATTACACGGAGGTTCAGGAGGAAGTAATTAAAAAAGTGAAATGAAATAAATAAATGCATTAGGAATGTAAACTTCTCTGTTTGCTTGTGTATCGCAAGAGAATTCTATGTGTAAAGCATATGTCTGTATGTGTCATCATGATCAACGGACAAGGGGTAAAATGTAAAAAACGTTTCTCTACAGCAGAGAACAAAATTGTTGCAGCACCGCCGGTTAAGCTACAGCCGACACGCGGTGAACGATCGCGATCTGTCTACCCAAGTCAATTACAAGATGCACATGAACATACGTCGTATGATGGGAGAGCACAAGCATCGTCACAAGCGCAGTAAAAAATTGCTCAAAGTAAGAACGTCCTGTCTCGCGCGATAAACGAACGGGACCTGATTTTGCAAATACGTGTAATTAAAATTTCGTTCCCTTTCCCCCACGAACGGCAGGATGGTAAGCAGAATCACGTGAGTTTCCCGGAGTTCCAGCAGAACGGCTCGACGAAATTGTTCACTCAAGGTAATTTCACAAAAGAATATCGATGTTCGGCCGGTTCGCCGATCCGAAAGCGAGGCTCATTTGAATACGTGAATTTTCATTTCGGCCGCAGATTACATCAACGGTGTCCTATACGAGTTGGAGAACGGGGACACCTCAAAGCCTTCGAGCAAAGAGGACTGGGACTCGGCGATCACCTTCACGGCTCGGTCCGGTGAGGAAACTGATTTTTCTTTTCCCCCTTTTCGTTAATTTCAGATCCGTCGTCGTCGTCGTCGTTAAAATCGGGAAACTTCTGGACGCTGAATTATCTTTTGAGAAATTAGCTTCCACGGGCGATAATTCCGAGCTCTTTGAATACAGAACAAAGAGAAAAGAGCGGAGACGGCTAATTCTTAGCTCGATTCAAGTAGATATAATCTCCCGTCCGCTGATGTTCGTAGACTCGTCGAACGCGAATGCGGAGAATCACCACGGAGCCACCAATACTACCTCAATGGACACCATAAATACTGACGATCCGGATATGAAACTGGGACGCGACGGTGAGTTCTTGGCATCGACATGCTACTATACGAAATCGCTTCTATTCAAATGAAAATTTCATTCCTTGGTCCGTCTTAAGAACCACTTTTACGTGACAACAAACCTTCTCAGTTGTTGTCAATGCGGAAACTGAACGTCCATAGAAATCTTAAGCATTCATAAAATTATCCAAGTCATTATTATTAAATTTCAGTTATTAAATTTCAAACATGCCCTTAGATTTTAGCATCGTCTATCATAAGAATCTATAAATAAATCTCTGGATACTTTCTAAAAGTAGAGAGTTCAACGAGTAGACGTCCTGCGATAATCTCACGCTGAGAGATCATCTTTCAATTTCGGGCAATTCACGATGCCATAATTTTTTTGAGTGGATCGTTCTGATTGTAGAATGCTACCGAGTGACGACGCCAACAGCCACAGAAACTATGTTGCCGTGGAAAAGGGAGGACGACTACGATTCCGCACACCCGGTTAAACAGAACGAGTTTCCACCTTGGTGTTCGAACAAAGAATACCTGGCTTACAGTTCTCCCTCGGCGACGTTCTTAGGTACAGTTAAACAAACACAATTTTCACACGCAGCTTTCTATAACATCGATATAAGCCGTAGTATTAGAACTAATCCCACTGAAAGCGTAGAGGAATTTTTTTTTGTACATCACATTTTTAATATCACACACTCAACAGCAAAATCGCTTTTTATTCAACATTTCTAAATTGAAACCAGGACGCTTATATGTATTAAGGAATTTTTACATATAGCTTTTTCCACAGGGCTCGGGTAACCCCTGTCACAGTTGACGGAATAAATACTTATTTATACTCGTTTTCTAAATCTTAGCGCTGTTTCAGGTATTTAGAGAACTTCGACTACATGACAGATATTATTAATTATGATAATATTTAAGGAAATTATTGTTTGTGATCTCGATTCGGTTGGTAGACGAAAAATACACGGAAATTATTGAAAAACGCTAATTTACAGGAGACCCGTATTTGTGAGGGCAAGCCAGCTCATCGAGCTCGGAGGATACCAGCCTCGGACTTCCGGCTGGAGAACATGTAATTTTTACGTATCAAGTCGTTTCAGAAATGCAGTGTTTTCCTTTTACTTTTCTCTTAATCTAAAAAATGCGAATGCGTCTCTTTTTCTCTTCGATTTTTGGGTTACCCAGTCCCCCCTATCGAAGTTCTCGACATAATCACATTTACTCTGTACATACGTTTACATGCACTCCGATACATCGTCACATAACTGACTGCGCATCATATCGAGACACGATGACGATTCGTTGGCCGCTCTGTGCACATCTCATTGTCAGATTCAACCGATCATTGGAAACACTCTCGCCGAGTTCTTTCACGAGCACTTGTGCTTCACGTATTCCTGCAATGTGCAAAACTATTTTGGTTTGCTTCTTGCGACCGCCTGAAATATTTTATCTGTGGAGTAAATCTTATGAAACGTACGTTCATTTAAAGTAAACGTCCGAATTTCTACTTGCTGACTTCTTTTTTATAATCTTCAGTCAGTAAGGAGAAATCGTAATGTGATAAATCGAGACTTTTACGATAGAACAATTTCTGTTGCGGGAAGGTAAAAATCACGATTTATCGAATCCGAACGTCATCTACGTTTCTCGTGTAACGTGATGAAAAATGAGTTAATAACGGAAAAAGCCGTATATTCAATTTTCCTTTAAACGTGATATAATGACTTTTGAACTAAGTTCGCGTCTTGGTTCACCAGTGAATTTCAATGACCCAAAGCGAAACGTATGGTGTCTTCCCTTGTCAGTGGACAAAAGGGGGATATTCCAGGTGGTCGAACCGAAACACTCGATGAATCTTCATCAACCTCATTAGTGACACTCCCTTCTAATTAAAGGTGGAATCGAGGAGCCAAAGGTCCGATCAGTAATTGGCTTGTTCCGTCGTGAAAGTGTATGCACGCCGGACGGTATCGATTGCCAGGAAACAGTCGACGAGAGCGACGAGTATACGTTGACGGGCACAGAGCTGACGGAGAAGTCGCCCGTCAAAACTTCCAGTGAGTATTAAAACAACTGAGAAAGGAATGTCTTGCGACAAGGGCTCACAGTTTATTCCTACTAAATATGTATTTTATTACGAAGGCATAAAAAAGTCTAATACAGAATTACGATTCATCTTCTACGTCAATTACACTCGGAGCCTGACCATTCCTACGATGTTAGAGGCACCACTTTATTTCCGGGAAGACAAAGTCATTAAATTATATCCTTACATGAATTAATTAATGATAGTTAAAATGTGAAAGATACAGGCCCGCACCAAAATGTTACTGTTCGATTAGGGGGAAAAAAACTAATTTATAGTTTAATGTAACAGATGGGGGACAAAGTCTGTTCGTATTTCTAAAATGCATTTTCCGTAAAGGAAATATTTGTCTCGTATATAGAAATACTAAATTTCGCCACAAAATTCCGTACCGTGTGTCGCAGGCGACAAGAAGGGGCCTGCCAGACGAGTGTCGATGATGGAACTAGGATCGATGGAGAGATCGCATTCGGACAGGGACGACGGGTCTCACTCCCTACCGGAATACTGGCACCCACCGCAACGTATGCGGCTGAACTCGTCGCCGTACTCGGCGCACCTTCCGAGTCTGTCGACCGCGCTGATCACCTCCTCCTCGGAATCATCGGAGGAGATCGACGAAGAGGAAAAGAGAGCTTGACCCTTGCGGATCGTCGAGGGGCAGACGTCGTCCTACGCGGACATCGAGCGTCGCCTGCGCCGCCCGTGGAGGCGGCCGCCCCGACGCTCGTTGCTCACGTCGCTCCTACGACGACCCAGTGCTCCGGTATGAACGAGAAAACGAAAGGGAGATCTCCCGTTTTCCCCCAGGGAGAGCCGAGCAATTCTCTGTTTACATCGAGCATGATCGCTCCCCCTGGACAATCGTCGATCTCGCATCCAGTGACCCTCCCTTCGAAGACGGACACGGAACATTTTTAACCGAACACGGGGAGGGGGGGGGGGAAAGATGAAGAGTTGCCGAGTCTAGTGCTCTCTTTATACTCCTTCACGCAGAACCACGATGACAGAAAGTAAACCCTCGTTTTGACTAACGATGCTTTCGTTCGCACGCAGAAAACGAGTGACTAGCTGTTTGCAGTTCCGTTCAGAGAAGGAGGAGGAAAAGGAGGAGGGGGATGAGAATATTTTTCGCGATTATATTAGTTCGAACGGATGAGAGAGTCGAATTAATAGAGTGAGAGCGTGATGTGAAGTATCGATGTTACAATTTTTTCCCGACGGAGCTGTGTCGAGGTTGCGTTTCTCTTTTGATACTCGGTAAACCGCGTGTGGATCCTTTTTAACCGTTCGAGACCAAAGTGATCAGAATGATTCGGTACGCGAACGAAAGAGTGAGAGAAAGATGGAACGAGCGAAAGATAGAGATAGAGAGAGAGAGAGAGAGAGAGAGAGAGAGGGAGAGAAAGCTATTTTTTTAAAACCGATACACCCTCGTTTCCTCCGTGAATGTGAGCAACGGTTTGAAACTGTCATAGACTAGGACGATCATTTATCGTAGTTGATTTTTCAAATGCTTCCTCGAAGAGACCACACACGTTTACACTGGACACGCAGGTGTTTTCTATAGAGCGCGAGGATTTGCGAGACGACCTTTTATCGATTCTCCGTTGCGTTGCTTTCTGCGTGCAGAGAAACATCGGAAACAGGCGTTTATTTCCTAAAACGCCTCGACGCGTTTTCCCCCTCTTAGCGACGAGACTCGCTTCGCTCATTGAACTTGGTATCGTGGCCTTAAGATTCCTAGAAGTATCCTAGCAGCAACTCTGGTGCGTTATAAGAAACAAAAAAAAAATGAGAGAAGAAAAGAGTGACCTTTCGGAAGAAAGAAAACTAGTGGACCTGAACCGTACCGCGTTTGAAGGATAAATAAAATTCATACGCGTACGCGCGTTTAGTCGTTTCATTTCTCTTTTATAGTTTCTCTATTTTAGTCTTCTGACTACACGACTCGAGATAGTGTTTTGAGAAAAAAAAATGTATACCTAACATGTATTTTACGCAGTTTGTATGGTAATCGACGCACGACGCTGAGAGCATCGCGCGATTCGCTTTTGAGTTGATAGACTCGAGTCTAGATTTAGAAACGCCGTATGGCGTTGCAAGGTGAATACGAGGATAACTTTAACGTTTCCGTTATCCTTCCAGAGCGTGGAAGTTCAAGAGAAGCTGTGGAGCACATCTCCTAATTCCAAAATTTCCAATAAATGAAAATCGATTGAATTTTTTTTTCTGATCAATAATACGTCGCCAGTGATGAGAAGAAAATTGTTGCTCTTAAAATCGATCAGGTTTCTCTCGACGATATTTCCATGCTCTCGAGCGTAACGCCACTCCTTCTAGATTTTGTCACCTTGCTGTTATCACACTGACATTCTGCAGAGATTCTTGGGAATTCTACACTGCAAATCAATTAAAATGTATTTATTTAGTCACGAATTTACCTCAGAAAAATTTTCTATCCATTTTAAGAATTGTACAAAACGTTTTTGAGTCGTGAAAAGTCCACAAGAATCGCTGCTACAAATGGGTTCAAACACAGTCTCGGCGGAACAGACGACTATTTAGTAAACCTTTCGTACGAGAAGGATCTCTGTAAACGAAACAATAAAACGAAATGTTCAAAGATTCAAGCATCGTGCAATATCACATAAGGAAATCTTTTGCGACGATTGACATACACACACGTACACATACACGGAAACGCTCCTTTCCTCGAGTATGGCCTTAAACGAAAAAAAAAGCAACAAAAACAAGTAAAAGATAATTAACTAAATAATTAAACGAATAAAAGTCTCAGCGTAGAAAATCAGCCGCGGATGTGTCGTAGGTCAGTACCTATCGCTAATATCGTATGTGCGAAAAAACGAGGCGACCCGAGCGAGAGAAAATCGAAGAGGGAGACTTTTCTTAGCGAAGGCAACGTAGGCAATTGATCGTGGAGACTATTTGATGATCGTTTATCGGATCGAGCGAAATGAACGTCGCGCGAGGTATCGGAAGTGTGTAACTATATATGACGGTGTGCGACCAAGGGAAATTGCGATTCCGGTTTTTATGACAATTGAAATGATTCTTACGTCGAGCAATCACACTGGCGCTCACACATTCCTATTCAAGTGCTCACGGAATTGATCGAAATACCGACTCGTCACCCCTAAACGGTTTAGAATCATCGAAGACGCATTGATCCGATCGAAAATATAAAATGTACATCAATTTACTTTTAATTGAAACACCGTCGTTAATCCACTGATTTCCTACCGATTTCAGATTTGTCACTTTTTAACAGAATACACTTTCATGCTTTTGGCACTTTGCCTTCAGTTCACTGTTTCGTACAAAATGCATTCTGCGCATACGAGGACTGTCACTATTTCTGTAGAAATTGTGTACAGACGAGAGATATTTATATTTTCGATCAGGACTGCGATTGACTCAATACCACAGCTCTTGCCAATTAAGAGAGTATCATTTATTAGAATTTCGTTTAGATTCGTTGTTTAGGGGACAGTCTTCTCACGCACATCGCGCTTGAATAATACTGGCTTACAATTGAGTAAAACAGGAGGGATGGTTCAATTTTCGTAAAAATCGTGAAACGAGTTTCAGATTTCCCTTCGCACGTTATATTCCTGGCGGCCTCTAGTTACCTAGGTCGGACGTAACGTCAGGCTCTCAGTCTCTAGACGCTAGTCTTTCTGCTGTTGATTTGTTAAAATAAATGTTTATTTCGTAAAAAACAAAATCAACGGATTTAATATTATACCTACCCTTTTAGACACATCGAATAAGTAAGCTTCACGAGCAAGAATAATAAGAAATGAAGAACGTAGAAACCTATTGAAGGACAGGCATCGTCGATTCGATAGACATCGCGTTAATTAAAAGTCTAATAATGAAACAATTAGCGTTTCGTTAACGACACCCATGCCACGACGATCGATTCCAGATCGAAACGGACGAGGCAGAGAGAACGGCAGTCATTACACACTGGATCGAACAATCGTTTCCTCGTGCCTGTTACAATGCCCGGGGGTGTCGTATTTTTAGTTTGTATACCCACGTTCACCTACGAACACGAATTGGTATTCGGCGTGCCCGTGAAACGGTACAAGAAGAACGAGAAGTCAGGGAAACCGATAGCTGCACCGAGGGTCGATCTCCGACTTAGGGAAACGAGGACGAAGACTCAACTATTGAGGCTGAACGACGACGATGACGACGTGCATGATCTGGACATCGAGGATGAATTGGCTGGAAGACGTCGAGGGCGGGGACGTGGCATTTCCGCTGAACATAATCGAAATCCAGTTTTCGTTTCGATGGAAACGGTATACAAAAAGCTGTCTGTTCTTCTAACAATGAAATCTGTCTCCAAATGTTAATGAAAATTGAATTTCAAATGATTCATTAAGGGGCTTTATCAGTGTGACCGCATAAAATTTTTTTTTGTTTGCTCCCTCAGAATTGTCTATCTAGAATAGTTTCAATTTTAGTTAATCATCTATTAAAAACTATTAGTAACAATTTTTCATTAGTTTCTTTTATTGGTGTAATTATCGAAGGTCTTGGAGGAGTTGTTGAAGAAGCTCAAGGTGGAGCACGTTGTCTGGTGCAAGGACAAGGAGAACATGTACTACGAGGTAAAGTACTTATGCTAATTAAGTTCATTACTCATTATCGTTATGCTTCTGTCAAGGTAATATTTCCTGTGCAAGCTGGAGAACCGTGCGAGAATTGCCTACATTGTCTAACAGAAATGGGAATCGGCGTGAAGATGAACTCGATAGTGAGGTGAGTTTAATCCCGCGGCATTCTCTCTTCCGAGCGAATGTCTTCATTTCGGAACGATTTTCAGCGTGATTCCGACGCAGTGCACGTACAGCGGCATAGGCACTTCTGTCAAGGCTATCAAGGATGACATAGCGCGAAGGTCAGCAATAAAAAGAAATCATTTTGTTAAAATAAATAGATACAAGTAATCTAAAAAAAGAAAATTATCTCCGGACCTTGAAAACGAAGAGGAAAACGTCTAGAAAACAGACGCCTCACAGCGTCCACGCTTTCACTCTTCGCCTCAAGGACCGTACAAATTTACACAAACAAGGCTATCGCCGCATCAATTCAATTATTCTAGACGAAAAGAATCTGAGGACAGGAAAAATGCTTGGAAAGCATTCGTGGAGTCGATACGATCAAAATTGACGGTCAGACAAGTAGTGGACGGCGTCCGCAGCGGTGGTGATCTTACTTTTGATTACGTGTTGCTCGTATTAACGGCAGAGTAATTATTCATATTAATTTCGTTTTTCTATTCAAAAAGTACATTAATTAATTGTGTAAATTTTCGCAGCTGTTTAGCGGCACTAGGTTTGATCGAGAACAGCGCAACTAATGTCGTAGCTGCTATGTTAGTGTCACCCTTGATGGTAAGATTCTAACGAATCTTATATCCTTAGAACAATTATACGCTTGTTTTAATATAATCCAGGGTCCTGTAATGTCACTGACGTTCGGAACTATCATAGCCGACAGAAATCTCCAATTGATCGGTCTGAAGAGTTTGCTGCTCGGGATATTCCTCTCGATATTGTTCGGATTTATTTTCGGCCTGATTCTGGGCACAACCGAAATGCCCTGGGGCTACAACGACTGGCCGACTGACGAAATGAAAGGCAGGTACGTTTTTATGTATGAATAGAAACTACGGTGAGTCGCAGAAGACAATGAGGCTTTCTCGTAGAGGCAACTATAGATCTCTTTGGATGGGAGTATTATGGGCTTTACCATCGGGTACTGGGGTAGCCGTTGCTTTGTTACAAGGGAGCAACGGCCCTCTGATAGGTGTTGCTATTTCGGCTTCCTTGCTACCTCCGGTAGTTAACTGTGTAAGTAAGAGAACAATAACACCTGGCTGGCTGAGATTAGTCTGGGAATCCGTGGGAATCGATGAAATTTATTCCCATAGGGTTTATTCTGGGCGCTCGGCTGTATATGGCTGATTTATCGACCGATTAAAATGCCGCACATGAAAGGAGAATCTTATACAGACTACAACACGTCGTACGTCTACGTGTACGCCGATTACCTCCCGGTTGAATTCTTCTGCAACGGAATAATCAGCGCGTGTCTGACCTTTATTAACGTAATGTGCATCTTTATCACGGCGATCATCGTACTGAAGGTGAGGAACGCCGCGAACGACCAAGGGCGTCGTCAAGAAAATCACGTAAAATCGCCTGACGCACGTGATGCAATTTTCGCGATCGTTTCAGGCATCGCGATAACATTTTCGTCTGATTACCTAATAAGCTGTAATGCCGCGACGAAATTGTTTAGTGCCTATAGAAAACTTCATATCTGATTGATGGCGGCTGAGGTAAAATAATGTTTGCCGTCGTCTATAAATTATAGCAGTTTCTCGGTTATTTTGAAATCTGCTTAATTGAAATTATACATACATAGTGGAGTTGCTCGAGTACTTAACTCAGAACCACATTTCTGTTACTGTGTAATATGTAACAAAAATTGTGAAAGGTTGCTACTCGTCAGAATCTTGAAGAAAATAAAAAAAAGAGCATAATTTTTTAAGTCTTTAGACACGGACGATATTTTTCCGAGGACTAACGTTACGATTTCCGTTTAGATTAAAGAAGTGGCTGCGCCGTACACATCAACACCGGAATTACGTCGGTTTTGGGAGCACGACATCCGCTTGGTTCGCGACAAAAATATCTCGCGAGATAACAGCTCTCTAGATTCTAGGTAAAACAAATATGTATATACAGATAAAGTCTTCCTCCCTCAGCGACAAAAAACGTCAGACCGACCAGAGAAGATAAAGAGTCGTCTACTGCGAGATAAAAAATATTATTTCCAGCTTCTATGACGGATTGAGCAAAACGAAACAACGTGCATTGGAGCAGACGTTGAACGAGGCTGTTCGCGAGGCCGTCGACGACGACACATTCCGCAAAGTGCAAAGATTAAGTTACGGCCAACACGGCCCAGAGAAGGTATCTCAAATATACGCGTTAAAATTGAATTTTATAATACATAGATTGCGGATTTACATCCAATATATAGTATTCATAATAGGAGTTTAAAAACTGCATTCTAAATAGACATGTCGTTTATCATATAATAGGCACTCGTCTTCTAATATTTCCTGTATTTATAAAATTTTTTTATTAACGCTTAAAATCCGCAATCTACTAATATAAATTGCGAATTGATATTACAGTTCACGCCGAAACTTGGACTCCACGGGACGGGTGGGACCACTAACATTACGGGTACTGAACACAAAGAAGAGCTCGCCTCAGACAGCTACAAAATACCTGAGGGTTTGGGAAAATCTGGCAGCACGAGCGAAGACTTGGCTGCCCTCGATCGATTGATCACTAGTCTTTTGGGACAACAGACCTATACCAGCGCTGGCCATTTGGATACTTGGCGACGTTCCCGTCGAGCAAGCTCTCGGGGCTACAAGCAGCTACACACCGCCAGCGGCATTGCAGAAGGAGGAGAGATTGGCTCCAACATCGATACTACACGACTTTAATCCCACGATTTCATGAATCTAATCAGTGGAGGTGTAGACAACGGATCAGACGCTTTTTCATGAGCGTAACACAAATTTTATTAAAGATACATAAGATTACTGTACTCGCGTTATAACAGATTATATAGTTGCATGACTCAAAACGGAAATCGTTTAAAACTACATTAATCCTCTATGGTGGATGGCTCGGTCCCGAAGTATCGGTCACCGAAGTTTCCGATCCCAGGTAACACATAGAACTTCTCGTTTATCACAGGGTCCAAGGCAGACGTCACGATCTTCACCCGCGGGAACGCATACGCGATCGAGTGTACACCGGATTCTGCCATTAACAGAGAAGCGAGTAATACATTCTCCTCGGCAACGTCGTGGTCCAATAAAACTCTGATAGCCATGATAGCGGCAGCACCCGTTGCCACTGTCGCGTCCATCAATATTACTTTGTAGTCTTTGATATCCTTCGGTAATCGGAGATAGTACAGCTGGAACGAGCATTAATCGATTTTATCAGTTGTAACATCGAAATGAAAATAAAAAATTATGAACTCACTTCCGGCTCTCCGGTCTGTTGATTCGTTTGTATGAGTATTTTCCCTATTCGTATGTCTTTACACACGTCCCTGACAGCTTGCTCCATAGTTTCGCCAGCACGTAAAATAGAAACGCCGCATATTTTATCCGTAGCCGCACGTTTCCCGTTGTATAACACTCCTTGAGGTGTCTCTACTGTGACGTCCTTTAAACACGCAAGATAATGCATGCGTGTAATAATGTCGAAGTACACAGTGATCACATTTCACTAATTTCACATTAAGCGTTTACCTCGAAAGGTAAAAGGGAAAGAGCGTACTCGATGACTAAACGTATCAAGCGTTTCGAGTAAAATATAAATTCATCTCTGTATGTTTCCTTGTTCCTTATAAATGTATGTAGACCTTTGATCTGTGGTGTATCCGGAAGTAGGTAAAGAGAAGATGGCAACGGTTGCCCAATATACGAATGGGCTAATTTTTCTCGGAGTTTAAAACCCCTCTGAAACGCGAAACGACTGTGAGCAGACGCACTAAAAGCGAAACGGAGTTTGAGAAAATGGAATCTTACCAACTGGAGCTGAGTATGCACGTGCTGTACAATAAGTTCTATCGCGACTTCGTTTTCTCCGCCACGTGGCACGATTATATCTGCGTGAACCATGAACGGAGCTATGTAATAATAAAAGGCAGGTTGCACCATGGTACTATATTGCTTGAGTACACCTTCCAAATCTCTCCCTCTTTGCGATATGTCTCTACGCAGTCTCCGAGCGAGTCTTACATCAGCGTCGGTATCGACAAACACCTTCATATCGCACATCTTGATGACAATTCGAGAAAACAGATCAATGATAATTTGCATTTCTGTCTTTGTTTCGTACCTTATTGCACTTTTTCAAAGTCCCGTTTATCTCGTCCCCCTGACAATACGTCGGCTTACCTTCAAAACGTCGACATTGTAGAATGTCAATATTCCCTCAAATATAATTACATTGGCACCGTACATTGTTTTCTTTAAACAAGAAAGAATCATAATGTGCGCAAACTGCGTTTCACGTTCATAGTGGTTCTTACTAATGTTCGGATACATTTAAAAATGTTAATATTAAAAAAGTTTCTATTTTGAACTCTGCCCGAATATTAATGAGAGTCATTGTATATATATATGCATACATAATAATATTAACTTACAGTTCTACTTTCTCTACTGTGAGTTACAAAATTGTAAATAGGAACTTCCACCATTCTACCCTCCTTTAAACGCTGTAGCGTCGTTTTCAGTAATTCAAAATCGAATGCATCAGGATGATCGAAATTGTACTCATTACGAGCTGCCATGTCGTGCTGTTTCTCGTTCAGCACCTAAACAAAGTCATTGGAAGTATTTTGTAACAAACAATCGAAATTTACTAACAGCCCCTTCATACTTTGTAAAAGGAGTCCATACTAAGTAACGTTACCCAGGGAACATCAAGAGATTCTATAATTTTTGTGGCAACTGTAGTCTTTCCAGAGGCACTACCCCCACAAATACCTACGACAAACCTATTAATATCGTCATTCATTCAATTCTTATTTTTAAATACTTGTACATTTTAGTACTAACCAATTACAAAAGGTTCTACTTGCTGTCCAGCTGAATTATACCACGGAGGTCTACCAGCTGTATATATTGTTCGAGTCTTACTTCTAAGGATAGATTCTGCTGAAGTCTTTTTACTGGATTGGGATAAGCTAGTAGTACGCTGCCTCCTTGATTTTGGTGATCTCTGAGAACCTATAATGAACAGCAATATAAAAGGAATCAATAAAATTGAATCTTATGTGTATGAAGGATAAAGGACAAAGGTACTTTTGGAATTTCTCGAAGCTTTCAAGGATCTTTTCAATTTGTACAAGGATTCTATTTCAGTGAACCAATTACATCCTGTTTGCCAAATACAAGTGCTCCAAATCATTGACTCTGTAAATTAATTAATAACTATTCTAATTAGTGATAAGTGAACGTTACACAATGGAGCGATGTCACCATATTATTGATCGATTGGAATTTGCATTATCAGATTGCATGAACGTTAAGTAGAAATTTGATGATTGTCTCACCTGTGGAAGGCGGTCTTGGAGATTGCGGCGTAGGTGTACCTATATCGGAACGTCTGTACGGCTCCGCATCTTCGCAGAGCTCGTCGACAAGGAACATTTCCCTCTCGTCCAAACAAACTTCACCGTCGCTAACGTTACGAGAATTTCAGTCCGCGTTCAAATTCAACTTTCTCGGGTGACTTACCTTTCAGAGCTCGCAGAGCTCGGTGGATCGAAATGTTGTATTTTAGCTGCCATATTTCGAATCACGTGTAAAGACACACGACGTGAATCCCACGCGGGTATTGCTCTTCCTTCCGCGATACGTCACAGCGGTCACAGCCGATCGCCGTACAGCAGCTGACTCTGACCAATCTGACCAGTGCCGACAAGACAAAGACAAAAGCTGGTGCCAGCAATTTGTTCCCCTCTCAGCCTCTTGCCACCCGTCCCACCCCCGTCGAAAACCCTACTTCAGGATTAGTCCGCGGAATGATAGCGGAATTATAGAAGGCGCTAAAGTCTAACCAGCAACTTGTTCCCCCCCAGCCTCTTGAATCACGTCCCCTCTCGTCTAAAACCCTACCTCACCTTCCGTCCTTTAGGTCCATAGGGAGATCTTCCGCACCCTGCCAATGTCCACCAATGTCGCTGAATGATCACCACGCGACATACCATCATGATACGTTCAAAATTCATAATATATTTAGATGTTCTAAAATTTCTTACATTCTTCGTCGCATATAATGTTCTAGATACAAAATTTGATCTTATAATTAATCTAATATTAATAACGTCATCAGTTTACCGAAAGAGCGGAAAACTGTAAAATGTACATTGAATACATTAAGAACGAAATTTTCATATAACGAAAACGATCTTTTTGTAAACGCATATCAGACGCGTTTAAAAACTGTAATGTACATCATTTAATTCATAATACAAGAGAGATCTAATTGCACTAGTTAGCTGGTGATATTACAATATGCAGTTTAAGCATATCTTTATTTGGACCTACTAGAAACGGTGACCTATTTTCCTGCACTGAACCCTGTTGCGGATTAAGTTCTTCGAACGGTAGAAGATCGTCCAAATTAAGGACACGCTCCCTGTCGCTAAACCTATGAATGATCTCTGTCACCCTCGCAATATGCTCAACCCCGTCCTGTAGTCCATATATCAGAACACCTATTTTAACTCGCATTTCCTTGTCCTCATCGCTATTTACCGTTGGTTCCTTACACGTGAGCGACAACCTGACCGAACGTTTCACATGTTCGGGCATTTCCACAGTCCCTTGCCAGACAATAAGGAAAAATTTTTTGAACCAAACACCTTTCGGGTATATGTCAACGACCCATTCGCATGCACGATCGCCAGCATACTCGGCTAAACACGAATGACTTGAAAATACGAGCGTGCTCGTGTGATAAGACGGTAGACTATGAAAATTCTCTATCGTCACCAACGAGCTACAAGTGTCTACGGTGTACAATCTCGGTTCGAACAGTAACGCGCCGTCTTCCTCGTTTAAACTGACTTCCCTGACTCTGTCTACCTGGCCAGAATGAAATGACATTCCTATGGACATGCGTTCTACGAAGAACTCTTTATACTTCTTCGTTAAGGAATATAAAAGTAATTCGGCTAACTGTCGAGGAGACATCATCGGGAACCTAACGGGGGACATCACGGTCACTACTAATTGCTCTAACGTCGCTTCCAATTCCTCCTGCGACAACTGAGTCTTTAATCTGTTTACTTGGTGATCGAGCCATGATTCCAAGCATTTGTATAAAGTCATTTCGTCCTTTATTACTAAGCTACTTTGATGTAACAATGATACTAACGTTTCCAAGTCGAAATTCCCGAAGTCCGTAGTTTTGGCCACTAATTCGAAGTTCCATTTAATGAAGTTCTGACAGGCTTGTGTAATTTTATAATGACCGCAATTCGAAGTGTACTGCAGCCACGACACGAGGGTACTATGTATGGCAGCTAACGCGATATGGTTTTGCATATATTCAAGGCACAGTGATATCAAGTCTTTAACGTTATACTTATCAGCTAGAGATAATATTGGTAGGACGACGTTGTAATTAACTCTTATGTAGCCGGTGTAAAAGTATCGTAAAAACTCACTAAATATAGGTACACACTGGGGAGTTTCTTGGAGAGTTATCTTGCTTTCTTGAGATTCACTCCATTGGGGACTCATTAACATTACCTGGAATAAAATTAATTACAATCACCGTAAAACGTGATTCTGTGTAGTTTCCATTAATTTTTGTCTTACTTGGAAAACATCGCTAGAAGCACAAAGTATAAGACGATGCGCTGGATACTCTATACCGTTAACAACGAGACATATATCATTCATAAGACGCTCCGCATAGAGCATCGCTATTTTTAACAGGACTATACGAGAGTTGTCCACCTAAAAAGAAAGCCCGACTATGTATCTCTGTTTCTGATATCCAATTAACTGTTATTGATTTAAAAAGAATTTCAAGTAACCTCCACTGAATCTGAACTTTCGCTTTGTCCAGCATTGTTCGCAGTGGTATTCGAGCCTTCTGCCCTTTTCTTCGATACTGTTACCGAAGGATTTGGCATGTTTGATTATTAAGTAGAACACCTATTTAACTTGCATGCTCCAATTATTATCCCCTTCTCTATATTATAGTTGCTTGGATAATACAGTTATCCTAATGCATTTCATATAACCTCCTTCTCATAAATTTATGCTCTGCGAACTTGCACAACTGGAAGAAAGAACACGAATTAATAAAATACGTACGTACACTTCTTGTAAGAATAAATGATTATTTACAAAGTAAAATGCAGTGTAGGAAACAAGTATGAAGTATCTAAAAGTAATTATACTTACCTCATGCAATAACATTTAAATGCAACGGGTATTGGCAAATTTTAATTAATTGGGAAATGCGCACGATTATAATGAACTGATAAGATTTTGGTAATTAAGAATACAACAGGTGAATTGCAAAACCTTATTCTGCATGCACCACCGTAACGTTTAATGGACAAGATGAAAATCGCCTTTGTCGAATCGAGTGACAGTTGTCAGTTGTTATTTAAATATTTTTATCAGTAAGATGTCGGAACGCTTGAACTACACGAAATCACATCGATGTAAAATAGTGGCTGACTGAATTGGTAATTTAAATGGCATTTTATACAAACACAGAATAGCGTGTGTGCGATAGAAGCCGCGAATTTCAATGGAGTTCGGAGTTAGATTTTTGAAACGTCACACTTTAATTTAAACTACATCAAACGAAGAAAAATGATTTACGTACGTATACGATAATCAGGTAAATGAATAATTTATTATTTTAAGGAAATGAGAGTCTCTTGGCAAACGTTGATTTAAAAACTATAATTAATGACTCGTAGCAGGTGTCGAATAAAAATGAAAGTTATTAAAATTGTTAGCATTACATTTTTATACAAAATAGATATAAAAAGAAATTTCATATGTTACAATTACGCACATCGTTTTAATTAAAGTAGGAACCTTAATCTATTAAAATTAGCATTTGTAAAAATGCTTGACACGTCTATTTTAATACACGAAATACAATGTGAAAGATGCACACTATCTTTTAACACATTCTTATTTCACTAGATTTTAATATCACTTGTTCAATGGTATTTCCATAATGTCCTATGCGTGAAACAGCTAATAGTAACATTTGTACTATCCACAAATACAAGTGAAAGGATTTATGAATTTTTGTTTTATGCTCTAACGCTTGAACGTTATGATCGAACTCGATGTTACACAACAAACATATTTTATCGTGATACTTCAAATAATGAACTTTATACAACTGACTACTCGCAAATTGTTCTGTACATAACTCACATTCAATGCATTCTATATTACCGTCGAATTTTTGATATTCATAAAGAGACAGCAAACGTTTCAACCCGAGAATGTTTATAGTATCGTTTACAGGATTTTGAACCGTTCCTTCTACATCGTTTTCCTGGAGATATGCATAGTCCGCGACCATATGCTCGTGAATCAGATGTTCCGTCAATTTGTATCCAGGTTTCACGTCGTTACAAATTTGACATATATCTAATTTACAACACTCTATCAAATGCTCCGTCATCGCAGACTCCGTGGGACGCAACGTGCTACAATTGTTGCATTTATATATTACTTCCTGACTGTCGTTCACGTCACACGTGATATACATTTTCGAAAATATTTTGTTCAATTCCTCTAACATCTCTGACTGTCCCGGATTCTCATGGGAAAAAGTGGTGTCATCATCTGGCGTTTGTGCTCTAACATTTGAAGTGGAAGGTAAATGATCTCCTGCATCCGACGCAAGGTGTTGACTCATATTACTAGAATCATCGTTCGCGTGCTTAGTCCTATGTTTTCTTAACATGTGATCTGTAAGAAAAGTTGATCCACACATCTCGCAGACATGTGGACCTACGCTCTCAAAATGTGAATGCTCGTTGTGACGCATTAAAGATATCCCATTGGGGAAGTAGAGACTGCATCGTTTGCATGCCCATGTAGTAACTTTCATACACACGTGAGTGTTCACCATTTTTACCGAAGTAAGTATCCTGTTACAATTGTCACAAATATGAACTACCGACTCGTCCTCGTGACAATCATACTTGTGTCGCAGGTAGTTCCTCAGGAAGGCGAAATTCTCTTTGCATTCACCGCAACGCCATTTCTTACTCCTTTTGAAAATCTGACACGCCGTTGAATCTCTCTTAAACGATCCATTACGTTTCCTTAACTTGGGCACTACATCGTTCTTCTTCTCGAGTATACAGTTATGTCTAGGAGACTGGTTCTTCTCATCACTGGAGAACAGTTCCGATAGCTGATTCAATGATTTTGAATACTCGAATTCAACATCGTGTGAGAAAAACATGTGATCAATGAACATCGCACGTGAAACGAATTGTTCGCCGCATATGTCGCAACACCATTGGCTTGAACTGCTAACATTTTCTTGCGTAGAAGTAGTTTCCTCTTCGTCCTCAATAAGACTAACTGGTAACTCATTTTCATCTTCTATCTCTTCTTGGTCTTTGGTAATTTTCGTGATACTAATATTGAACTTAAATGACTGTTGTATTTTCGAGGCTAGTTCTTCTGATTTTTCCATGAGATTTATATGCAAAATTTGATTGGAATTATCGTTTTCCGTCGAGACATCGTTTTCCGTCGAGGCATCGTTTTCCATCGAGGCATCGTTTTCGTTTGCAGCACATTCTACATTTTCATTTCCAGCATCGTCGACTTCTCTATCAGCTATTGTCGTATCTTCCGGTGTTTCTGGTTGACTTGGTTCTTCCGAATTTGTGATTCCATCGTGAAGATTCGTAATGCCTGTGTCCGATGCAACCGAATCTTCTCCTAATTTCGTTGTACTATTGTTACTTGTATCTTCTGCTCTTTGCTCGTTGAGTATCGTGCGTGCCTTACAGTACAAAGATATGTGGTTTAATAAATGTCTTTTACGTTTGTACGATTTCGAGCAAAGATGACAAACGAGCATGCTGTCAACTTTTGCCTGAGGTTCACAAATATTTAAATTTGCAGTTTGTTCTTCGATCATCGGTACTGCCTCTATCGTTCCACTGATCTTACCTCGTGAATGATTCGAATCATTATTTCCCTGTAATATTATATTTTTTTCTCGCACCTGCATCGTCCACTCTAATAATGTACTTTCACTGTTCAAATTGTTACAGTAGAGGCTGTTAGTTATATTCACTTGTGTCGTGTTAATACAACTCTGTATCGAATCGTGATTTACAAGATTAATATCTCGTCGCTCATTATAAATGCCGCTTATATTGTTCGCAATATCGAAAATCGGACTACGGTTTAAGGTGTAGTCTTCATTAGATGTATGTACATTTTTACAGAGCTCGTACAATTGAGGGTTTTCGACCATTTGTTCGACATTGTAATTATTGCAATTTTTGAAAATTTTAGATGTGTGATAACTGTTAACATGATTTTTAAACAATTTCGGTTTTTTAAATACCTTCGAGCAACAACAACATACAGAAATAATTCTAAAGTTTTTCTTGTCTAACTCTTCATTGAAATTGATAAGGTGAACGGGATAATCGATGTTGTTGTCTTTACCTTCGCACTTCAAATGTACATTCATCACATGTTCTTGCAGATGAGACAGAAAATTGATTCGTAGATCGCAAGGTATACATTCAACGGACAGCGTTTCATTTTTCAAGTTCACTTTACTTGAAAAGTGGTGTAACAGGTCGAAGGCTTCTTTACAGTTATTGCACATCGCTGCGCATGTATGCACAGTCTTCGAACAATCAGATTCCTGCATTGATCTATATTTTAAATTCCGGAGCTTTAAAAATAATTGTAGAACATCTTCTATCGTGAACTGCGAGTCATATCCGTTGTTATCTAATTTCAGTATTCTAATACTGTCTATTATCTTACGGTTCGAAGATGCATTAACTCTGTTCGTTTCACGATTTACGTTCGTGTCCATTTTCTTTATCATATTTATTTGTTGTTTCTCGCATACCGATTCGTGGTACAACACGTTTATCCCCTCACCTTGTTCGACTTTCGTCGTTCTAGTCACGTACGCGGAATGTTGCGTCTTCTTTTCGTAGTAAGTTTTGTCAATCTCTCGAGTGTCCATCGGTTGAAGTAATTTAGACAATTGAGACAGAGGCATGTCTTCTATCCTGACTAAAGGTATCACCGATACTTTATTAGTATCTATGTCATTTTTATAAGATATTACATTTTGATTCATATTAATACCAGTTTCACTCGATTCCGCTAAGGTAATTTGAGAAAAGGTTTTTGTGATATACGACATCTTCTCTGTTTTCTTAATATACTGTTCGTAACTGTGCACCGTATGAGATAATCTTTGTTTCTTCTTCTTCTTCTTCTTCTTCTTTATTGAAACAGGAACCACTTCCAGTTTTTTATGCCTCTTGCGCTTATCATTCAACAATTGAATTTCAATTGATTTCCTAGGTCTTCCGCGTTTTCTCTTCGTAATATTCACAGGCACATCGTCCACCGGTTGCGTCTTATTATTTGCGAACAGACTCATCGTATCACCAGTTGTAACAGAGCTGTTCTCCTTTTTTTCTTTCATTTTCATAGGAATTCTGCAGTCGGTCTCATCTTCAGAATTGGTTGATTTTCCAATATCGGTGTCTGGAATGAACCACCTTAACTGATTTCTTAATTTTATTTCATTTTCTAAAGGCTTTCCTTTTTCAATCCTGATCTCAGGCCGATCTTCATTTCTTTGTCGTAACGTTCTACCACGACAAGAACGGCATCTACCTGAATTAAAACTTTTATACATACTATCTGCCTCATCAGCTTCTACTTCGCCTGGCATTTTAGTCCTATATTTCGATGTTGACTTTCTACTACTTCTACGTACATTTCTCAAGGGACTAGATGTATTTTCCTGACAATTATTTTTCTCTTTAAAATCCATAGACTTTAAAGCTCTCTTTGGAATAATTTCTCCGAGCTCGCAACTCTTCCTCTTCAACGTCGAACTCATCTTGCTCTCATTTTCTACAGAATTAGTTAAATCCATTTTTTTCAAATCAGTAGACATACTTTTACTTTCACGCGAAGGATATTTCAATGCTGTGTTGTAATCCCAGTTCTCTTTATGAACACTGGGAACATGCCTTTGTTCTTTGGAATAGGTTTCCTTCGGAACAGATCTTGCCCGAGATCTGCTATGTAATTTAGTAGTATCTGAATCACTTTTATAACTGCGTTTGCTCCTTAACATCTTTAAGCCAAAGAAACAGCTTGTGCTGTATTAATAGTATTATGAAATCTTTAATAGGCTGCTAGCTTCTTACTGGAATCAAAGCATTTCATAGTTATTATCTAATTGTATGCTATTACTAATTATAAATACAATATATAAGTGATTTACCTTGTTAAACAACTATATATACACGTTTTAATGGATCACTTAACTTATATTAACATGTTCTCTCATTTTATTGTTTATTATATGCTTTTCATCTTGTTTGAAAAATAATCGATTGACGTACTAAAAAAGAAATAAGTTAATTAGGAATATAATAAACGTATGTTAGATATCAGTAATGTAGATGTATTATGAACAGAATAATTATTATTACAATTGAAGCATTGTCTCATATAAATAGTAGCGTTTGTACAAAAATCCTAATCAGATAACTAATCTTTTATACGTATCTACCGATACTTTCATATACAATAAACTGTCTAACCTTCAGCAATCGTCCGCTTCTCTCATTCATATAGGAAATTTCACACAAACTATGAAAACAGATGTTCTCATTTTCAAGAGTAGATCTCCGAATCAATACGATATCGTTTCTTATAATACATAATTACTTAACTGTATGTGCTTTTATCTCTCCACAAATATTTTAACAATATGTACTTACTCTTTGTTTGAAAGTATCGTTAGAAATTTGAAACTGTATTATATTTAGGTTATTATGTTGTCGTCCTGTTAGATGGCGTGAACCTTGCTATCTCATTGGTGTATTTGTCATTGAAAAGGTCCCATCGGTCCCACCACGAGTCCCATCGTGGAGCTAAATCGCCAAGCTCATCTGAGATCTGAGTCTCACGAATTCCATATGGGACTGATATCAATCTCACCAGAGAGGAAATCCTCTCTGACCTCTGATTCTCACATATATGGGTTCTAATAAATTTCAAGTTCCAAGACTTCTAATATATATTTCTATTTCCTCACTGAGCACTCCGGTTCGGTCACACATGTATGCGTCCCAATGTCCCAATGGTCCCAAGGCCCAAGACTGCCCAAGACTTAATATCCATTTTCAACTGTAGGGTGCACTACAAACGTGATCATTAATATCCCTGCTTCCCTCCCAATAATTAACAATTAATTTAAAGATATAATTTTGTTAACAGGGAGAATTATGAATCATGGATATTTTACACCGAAACCAAGCATTTTCCATCTCTCTTGGACTGGTCTCTACATGTATCTCACAGTCTCTCATTTCTCTAGGGGTGCAGATGCAGCCAAGTTCACTCTTATTGTTATACTGTTGTTGCCATATTTAGTCGTATGTAATCTTCGAATACCGAGTCTATCGAAGATTAATAATTCGTATAGACTCTATTATGAAATATGAAATATATCTTACTAAAAGTACAAAATGAGTTTACTGATAATATCGACAGTGAGTTGCCTGTTAGAATACATCGTTCCTTCTTTCGTTAAATACGTAAGTATCGTGACTTGTGATATTATCATTCCATGATTTGAAGTTCTGCTATAAATTAAAATAGTGACAGACGTTTGAAACTTGGCTAATTACCAGTTATTCTCGTGTTTAAACGTCAATTTAAATTGAACAGCTATCATTTGTACTTTAGGCTACATCCCGTTTTTACACGAGGAGTAAACAAGATGTGGAATTAAGAAACGACTTAATTAATGTAAAACAAGAAATGGGTGGAGTGTCCATACTAGATGAATTTTCAAAATACGCCAAACTTCAGCGTAGATACAATAAATTAGAAAATGAATTGAAAGAAAAAGGTAGAATACCCAGTTACTTAAATCCTTTCTTACCACTTTACAAAATAATTGACTATGGCTTATTTATTATTTAGCAAATGAGAGACAGTGGTTCAGAATGAAAGTAGAAGCATATATAACATATTCTTTTCGTATATTAAACGTAAGTGGCCTCAATTTATCTCATTCCATCATAATGCTAAATGTCTATAACTTACATCTCTTTCAGGGTATACTGATCTTGATCCTACTCTATTTGTACGGCAATAAACCTGTAATCATTTTGCCAAAAGGTATATTATGGCCTTTACAAAGTCTGCTCAGTTGGCCATGTTACCATGAAGATTCAATTTCATTGGTCATGTGGCTGGTGATCGCAAGACTAGTGGTGGTTATGTATAAAAAGAATGATATAACATAATGTTAACTCTCGAAAAGTAATAAAACGGTTTATAAACAACCAAATAAAAAGGATGAGTTTGGAAACATGAATTATTCGCCTGTAAATAATTTTGCAGGAACAGGAATTTGAAGATTGTACATAGAATTTTGTTAATACTATACGTAGGTAGTTAATAGTATTATAATTTGTGAAGTATTTGAGGAATTAACTTGTTGTCTATGTTCAGTAAGGATAATAGGCTTTGGCAAAATAATAGCAAAAGAGTGACTGTATTTCGTAAAAGCATTGAGTAAAGTTACATAATACGTAAATATGAAATATATTTGCATATAACTATTGATAAGTAATAATTTTATATTTTAACAAAATTCCTTTTTATATGATGACAATTGATACATCTATATTCGATATAATGTAGCAACGTTTTATTTTATGCATGGAATATCCGTGAAACATTTATTTTGTAAAGCTTAAAAAAAGTCAGTAATTCTTTATTGTTGTCCTATTATTATTAATCATGGATAAATGTTACCATTTAATTTTCGATAGTCATAACTTTTGATTTAACTTTCCTATTCATATTACCAGTTTTGTAGTTTTTTCCAGCATTTAATATCGCGAAACATATAATACCAAGATTGTGTCACATACAAATTGCATCGTATAGGAAGTTCCATTATACTAAACGGTTAATTTTCCTTTTGTTCCTTTTTCGTTTTCGTAATAAAAGCTGGTTTATAGAGTTCTCATATTCATTACTGGGCAAGGAATATAAATTGTTGCCCATAACACATTCAACAACAAATTGGCAAATCTCACGATTTTCTTTAATAGTTTTCAGCACCAATAGTAAATAATAAGTATTCAAATTATTGTAAAATATAGCACAAAATCGTTATGTTTTACTTTTGTTTATCACATTCGTATAAATATCAGTTGAAAATATATTATACATGACATATGTTACAAAGCAGCAAGTATAAACCTAGTAAGATGAAACGTAAACTGGTTTAATTGTCGAAAATGAAATATTGATAAAAAATTGACGGAATCAATCTTTCGAACCGAATGTAGTATAACGCATAGCCGAATTAATAAATGAATATTATTTGTAAAGTCAAGCAGCTGTAAACATCATTAATGGAACAAAATATCTTTCATTCTTCAAACATTGAGGAAAGAGAATGTTACTGTTCTAAGTATTAGTTAATATAGTTTTTCATTTCAAGTATTTAGTGTGTGTCTAGCATTTTGATGCAACAATGTCATGTAATCGTGTACCTTCACGATATTAATTTATCAATTTCAAACATATAGATATTCGCACATGAAATACACAACTTTATGTGATTGTATAAAAAGCGTAGAATTAATAAAATTTTGGACGTCATAGAGGCGAAGGATGCTTTTAAAAAATGTCAACTTATACTTTTAAGACGTCGATGTAGTTTCGTTTAGCCGCTTTTCAACATCGCACTCTCTTAAGGCATGTTAATTTTAGGTACACACGGGTTCTCGCTCTTCTAAATTCATTATAAATACTAACAACACGAAACTATGATTATAAACTTGCAAGAGTATGTTATATTATTCATCACATGCCGTATACTCGTGTTACGTTATAAGGAGAATTTTTAAATTAAATAAGTTACATAGTAACTATTATAAAAATATCTAATCCTATCACCTAAATACTTAAATTAGAACGTAATCTTTCTCTTCGTATTACTATCACTAAGAATTAAAAAAAGAACAAAAATGCATTACGTTATTTACGGTAGTAATAATAATAATAACAATAATAATAATAATAATGATGATAATGAATAAATGAAATTAGAAGAGCGACTCTTGCTTCGATCGTTCATTTCGTTAGGCTATTCCGAAGCAGCTCAAAATTGTATAAAAAAAAAGATTTGAACGGCTAAATATCACGTGCAGAGCAATTCACAGAAGAATTCTTCGTTCTCATAGTTCATAGATACTTGGCTATAAGCGCGAAACGATTGAAATGTGCAATTTCGTTTGAATCCGACCCTCGAGCACGTTATACAATCACATAGTAAAAATGCATCACCAAAGAAGTACTTTATACGAATACACGATGAAATAGTTTTTACTGGATCAATCGGACTGACTTAGGTTTTAGTAATGTCCATCGGTGATCCACCGGTTACGGTCGCAGTTGTGCTCGCGGTGATGGGTGGACCAGTTGGACTTACTATAGTCGGCGGAATTGCAGGTTTAACGAATCTATCCGATGTGCGTCTATTGGACGATGCCACCACATGGCCCTGCTCAATTAAACGTTACAAACGTTAATAGGTACACTCGCGTACTTAATGCGTTCGATTAACTGCAATGGAACTTACACTAGAAGGAGGCGACGAGCTTGCAAATGGAATTGTAGTAGGTTGTCCGCAAGCGTAACATCGATTTGTATTGAATCCTTCTCTGGTCGATGAACCTGTTACGTAAACGTGCAATGAAACTTAAACGGTGAAGTACATGTGCTCCTTAAGAGATATAACGTTGATTTTCTTATAAGAAAGAAGTATAATACCTGGGCTTAAAGGTCTAGAGGAACTAGGCGAAGGATTGTACGGCACTGGGCTGGAAACAGTACGATTTCTTATATTCCCACCGGACATCACGATTTCATTATAGTGCCGTTCTTCTTCCATTTCCAAACTAACGAGTTTAACAACGTTAATGACAAATCGAATTATATTCATATAGTAAGGTTTTTACCTAGATTCTGATTCCGAAAGGTGTCGACATAAAGCTTCGCGACGCTCCACTTCCAACTGCAATTTTCGTTGAAGTCGTAAATTTTCTTCGCGAATTTGCTTCTCTTCGTTCACGTATCGCTGCATTTTCTCCGTATCTGTTAAATAGGTACATGAACGTTTGCCCAAAAGTTTTCATAATATAAAGGATGAATCAATGAGAACAGTCATTCGAAACAATTGATTGTACAATTGTCTATGTGGTAAAAAGGACTCACGTTCTTGTTGGGAAATGAATAACGTGTGTCTTAATCTGGCTACTTCGCTGCGTAGAGTTTGAATATGTGCACTGAGACTAGTAGCGGTGTCGCCGTTATTAATTTCTCTCGGCGAAGCAGGATCCGACACGGGCTGATCCAATTTTATTTGTAACATTCGTTTTTCCGCCTCCAGTTTATCCATCCTCTTCCACAATTTGTTCACTAACGCTTCCTGCTCTTGTTCAAGCGTATTTTCAAGCTCCACCTTCTCTCTGCGCAACTGTTCCAAGTTGCTCTGCTTCGCCAGCGTCTCAGCCTCGAGTTTCTCGATCTTCCTCATCAGCTTGTTCACCAGACATTCCTGCTCCTGCTCCAAGGTTTGCTCTAACCGGCATTTCTCTTGACGCAACTGATTCAGTTTCCTGGATAAGTCGTTCGTCAAACACTCCTCTTCTTGCTCGTAATGATGGGCCAACGTTTCCTTCTCTTTCTTAAGTGCTTGGATCTTTTTTAACAATGTGTTACTTATAAATTCTTCTTCTTGCTCAGCTTTAGCTTGCTGCGAAACAATTAAAACAGGAGTGTCGTGATTCATTGAGGAGAATGTCGATAAAATTGTAGAAAGCAACTTTTATTTCAGAACTACATTTTCTAGTTTCATGTGCAACTCAAATGTCAGTGAGAAAATAAAATGCAATTCCAAGGGTGAAGTATAATTATATAAGGCAAGTATATAAAATTACATAAATGGTGTATAAGAAGCTGAACTATCAAAAAAATGTTATTCATTAAAAATGCTCGTCCTTGCGCTAGCAAATAAGGAATTTAATATAGAAACGAGCTCGAATTATTCACAGAACACGCTGAAATGTAATTGAGCTTGTGTAATTGAGAAATATAGTGATACATCACGATCTAATTCGTGAAAGAGGACGAAATGCTTACTATGATGACAGAAGCTTGCCGAAGGCCACGATTTTCCTCCTGCAACGCTTTCACTCGTAATTTATAAGTTTCTAGCTCGACTTTGAGGACACGGTTGTGTTGTTGCAAAGACTCGATCCTTTTCTGAAGCTGTTCCCTGGTTACAGGGGACGGCGGCATCATTATCGGTCCTCCGTCGATCGAGCTTGAATCGCTCTCGGATGCGCTATCACGGTCAGCCATTTTTCTCGTACAAGAATTTTCTTCGAAAACAATTTACAATCCTCTCGTTTTCATCGCACAAACATCGGTACACGATACGTTTCTTCTTCAACCGCGTATGTTTGATTTTTATTTTAAAACTTCATTATTTTTCATAAAAAAAGCTCGTAATATTGCAGGAGACACTACCGCATAACATGTGCTTCGCCGTGTTCGCCGTAGAACGAATCAGCTGTTTGATTCACCATGGAATACTCGTTTAAAAAAGATGTCAAGGATGTCAGGACGCGCAGGAATACGCCGCTAGAATCGTTTATTCAATATTTATTTAATTCTTTTATTAGCATTTTTAGGCGAAACGATTCGCTTTCTCCATCGTTATAAAGAATTGTGCCATGATCTATCATTATAATACTGGATCCGCAAATGCAACACACGCTTTTAAGTGGGAATGAACATTCACTCAACTGTAAATTCTTGATTGCGTAAAATGAGATCCATTATTTTTACGTTTCGTTTATGTTAATATAAAGAATAATTATTCTTTATATTTTTCGTATGCAGTTTATTTGTTCCTCAGCCAGGCGTCGCGCACTTGAAAACAGCGGTTTTCAAGCACGAGGTACGACCATCTATGTCGGAAGTAATCGGCGACCCACGATACGGAAGAAGGGTTTTCGTTTTCGGTTTCTGCGCTTCATGAATTTTCCGTTGTCCGTGCGTTGCCATGTTCAAGATTCACCGATAAATTTATTCTTGGCTACGCATAAACGTTTAATCTCGGAATCCGGTCGATCACGAGATTAACGAAACGGGACAGAAGCGTGTGGTCTGATCTGTAATATTGAGTGACGACGGCCACCTTGAGCCTCGGCGCTTTAAAAATCGTCGAAAGGCCCACGGTCACACGCGCGACAAAGGTAAGGATCCTACATTCGACACATTCTCGACAGTATTTATCTTTTGCAGCAGTCCGTACGTTGAATTTCGCAAGAGTTTCAGTTCACCATTCTTCACGTTGATTTCCAGTAATACTTTTTAGTTTATTTTAACCTCGAGACGTTCACAAGAATATTCTAACTATCATAACTAATGCATACTTGCGCTACAGATTAATCGTAACTGCTACTTCAATTATTTTCTTTAGTCTGTTCTCGATGTATATTAATTTTCTGCAAAACGTTTGTTTTCTGCAATCGTTCTGTTTAGATGTTCTGCATATAGTGTGCATCTTTGATTGTATGAAATATATTTCGTTGAAATTAACATATTTTATCAGATTCTAATAAAAAGCAGATTGTAACAATTTGTTGTAACAAAGTTATTCTATTATTGAATTTCCATAGGATTTCATATTTACAATTTATTTGACAACTTCCTCCTGGAAAGTTACTTATATTTCCTATTACAGAAATGAGAATTGAAATAAATCTTAGGACCCAGTTGTATCACGATTCCTGGGAAATATTGTAGTTCAAATCTTTAATTACAAACTTGTAACACGTCTTATCTGATAATTGTTTTATCATTGACGATCGCTTATCATTAGTTCTATATAATTTTTTTCTATCATCTACTCACGTTAGTATTATCATGAATTTTAGCTTGATACTACCTCACGTCTAAAGATGAAGAACTGCTTTAGTCTTTCGTTTTTCCCCCTGAATGCTTTCCACTTCCTTCATTCATCTCATCTCTCCATGTGCCCACATAAGACATTCTTACAGGTTGAAAGTCCGTTCGTTATAGTTTCTAGTGCAGTACGAAAACGGTTTACGGTTTGCCGGTATTTATTAGTTTGTGTTGTGTTCGAAAAGTTTGGATACGTATAAAAGCAAAAAGTTCCGCGTGAGAAATCCCGTCTCGATTAACAGTACGTATCGTATATGTGAAAAGAAGTTCAGTTTAAGTATAAAGTACAAAAAAGTTTGTTGGTAAAAGAAAGTTTTCAACGTGATATAAAAAGTATGTTCGACGCGGTTTGGATTGCGATTCGCGTTGTGCCATCAAGAGCAAGTACTGCACAGGCTCTTATCGACACAGGTAAGCCCTGCGACGCTGCTGACGCAGATTTTTCAGTGCTACATTTGGTCGGTTCGGCTAAAAAAAAAAACAAAGCAATTCACTACTCAAGTAAGAGGAACTAACAATTTGTTTGAACGGTGGTCCCATTTTTTTGTCACATTATCGTCGTACGTGTTCCAACGTGATCGTTTGTATTTCCAGGCTAGAGTAATTCGTCATGTCAGACTCTGGTTCAGAGAGCTCCTCTTCGGAGGGTTACAACGGAAGGAGGAACCGCGTTACTTCGGTTGACAATGTGGCATCGCCGAACTTCTCGCATCGTTCATCGGTCTCCGGGCTGAAATCCCCAGCAAGCTCGATTTCCTCTAGAGGAAAGTCGCCCGGGTCTGTATTGTCCGAAAGAGATTTGAAATCTCCAGGGTACACACCGATATCGCCGAAATCTCCTAGATCCGGCTTGGCGTCTCCGAGCGAGATCACATCACCAAGATCGCCTAGTAGTATGTCAAAATCACCGCCGGCTTCGCCAAAATCGTATCGTTCGGGAATCAATTCATTGGGATCGCCCATGGACTGTAGCTTGTCTCGTTCTCCCGTGCAAGACGAAAGATCGTGTCCACCGTCTCCCAATGACCTCAAGTCCTTGCATCTCGAAGACGGGGAGCCCAAGCAGTTCGAATTGGAAGTGGATGCGCCGAGATCCCGAGAGAACTCTTTGAAATCTTATTCTTACAAGAACAGCGGATCCAGGCAGAGTTCGCCGAAATCTCCGAGGTCTGGACGTAGCTCGCCAAAATCGATTATGTCCGCGAGGAGTTCGCCTAAATCGTGTCCAGCGTCCCCAATGGATTATCAAGAGTCGGAGAAACGCTCGCCGCCGCGTTCTCCGCCAGCGAAAGCAGATTCGTTCAACGAATTGGACGGTGAACAGATCTCAGACGGAGATATCGAAGACGAGCCCGAATCGTTGAGCAAATCTAAACCTGCTCCGATCACGCACGGAGAAGATTTGTCGGACGTTTCCGATCTGGAAAGTATGGACGGGGTCGACGATGCTAATGATCATGATGCTATACTGAAAGAAAATCAACAGAACGAAGAGAAACGTTCGAAAAGCGATAAAATAGAGAAGGAAGATAAAAGTGCGACCGTCGGGTTGGCTGAAGAGAACGAACAGCTGGATTTCGAAGCTGATGGCCAATGGAAAGATGAACGCGACGAAGGTAAATACTGCTCGAGTCATTATATAGTAAACTAACACCTCAGAAATCCAATATTAAAAGGGTAATTCAGCTCTGGACTCACAGGACTCACTGTATATGCAATTAAAATTATATGATTTTTAGGCGAAACAGAGGGGTCGATTATTAAAGAAAATAAAGATAAGGATGACAAAGATGGGAAGGATAAGGACAAAGACAAGGATAAAATAAAGTCGAAGGAAGGCGGTGAAGGTAACGACAAGGAGGAGGGCGAAGAAGACGGTGAGAAAGTAGAATCTGAATTGGAGGAAGGAGAACTTAGCGACGGCGACGATGCACGACCGGAAGAAACGGAACCGAGACCCGTTTGTCGGTTTTACAACCGAGGCCAATGCACCTGGGGAGTCAGTTGCAGATTTTTACACCCGGGTGTAACCGATAAAGGTAATTATACCATGTTCGATATGGTGAGGCCGATGGCGTATCCACCGCATGCGGCTCCTCCGCACGAGTTCAGACCACACATCGAGAGACCCAACATGGGACGGTCGATGCCTGGTTACGGTGCACCGCAACATACTCCGAAGATAGAAGAACTTCCTACCGAGTCAGCGTGGGAACGCGGGTTGCGACACGCTAAGGAAGTAAGGAGGAGAAAAGTCGACGGTCTACGTTTCACAGATTGTGTGTAACACATGTGTATTTGTTTCACGTAGATGATGCGGAAAGCGAACAAACGTAAAGAATCAGACATGGACTTTGAGGAGAAAAAAATGAACTTGAGCTTAGGGCAAGATGAATTAGATAGAGAAGCCGGATATTACGTGAGACCGGCGAGCCCGGAACCACCTGTTGAAAGATGGCCACCTAGAGAAGCACCTAGGAGAATACCACCACCGAGAATCACGCCAGAAAGATATATCGAAGAACCAGATCCGTATTATGCTCCGCCAGCAGCACCTCCAGAATATTATAGGTTCGTTCTTACTTAACATACGTTGGAGTCATCGTTTGTAGACTATTTAAAGTCATTCAAATGCTTCCTATTTCTCAAGGAGGGTACATTATAAGGGTGAATCCCGAGTTAGTGCAACCGAGTACAGGGAGCGCATCGACTATCACGCGATACCTCGCGGTGCCCCACATTCCGTATCTCCACCGCCGCATACGAGGGAGAGGGAAAGGGAAAGGGAGCGTGAACGCGACAGGGAACGGGAGTATTACGAGAAATACGAAAAGAAACATAAGCGCCCGTCGAGAGAAGTTATCGTCGAGCGTATCCCACCGACGAAACCCTGGCGAGAAGAAGAACCGCCGCCGGAGGAAAGAGGAAGAGGAGATGAATGGGCAGATCCTTGGATGCGTCGGAAGTCTCCGAGCACAGTACGACGGAACACGTCTTCCCGGCGATCGCGAAGACAGTCTTATTCATCGGGATCTTCATATTCGTCGACCAGGTAACTTTGGTTTACCACTCGCATTTTGTTGTAACAACGTATTTCTTATTTTTCTCGACAATTCTTGTCGCAATCCGTACGAGTGTACTGTATACTGTTTTTAGTTCTAGCCGTAGTTCGAGCCGCTCTAGCTACAGTTCTTACGACTCCCTATCCAGGTCCCGTTCACCATCCCCTCCCTCCAGAAACCGTGGTGCCGGCAAAGGGAAGGCAGTGGTCACATCGCCAACCTCTAATCCTCCGGCGGTCGCAGCTGCCGCGCCTCAACGTGGTGCCATGTTAATGAATCCACCCGCTCCCTCTCCTCGTCCACCCAAAGGTTCCATCTCACCTACGACTGGCACGCTGCATCGACGCGCTGGTTTAAACCCACCAGCTCCGAGTCCGCTCTCTTCTCATCAGCGTCATCACGAGAAGTCAAGGGACAAGGCGGCGTTGGCAGCGGCTGCAGTAGCGAAGGTTATCAAAAGCCGATCAAGATCAAGGTACAAATTTAATTGTCGCATGATACAAATTTCAATTCACCTTTCATCGTCATGAATTTCGATCACTCGCAAGGGAATGTATGTTGGCAGATGCACAAATAAGATGTCAACGAAATGAACCACTTACTGAACGTATTAAACCGTGTTCGCAGGTCTTCGCACAGTAGTTCAGGATCGGAGAGCAGCGGTAGTAGTAGCGATTCCAGTGAATCGAGTTACTCGTCTTCTTCCAGCGAGACTCGTCGCAGAAAGGGTTCGACACCGCCGATCACCCGAAAAGATTCGAAGGGTATCGACGCTTTGAAGCTTAGCGGCACGAAGCAACAGATCAAGCTCACGTTGAAATCAACGAGCAATGCATCGACCACAAAAAAGATCGACCGATCCGCTTTAATGGCCGGTAAAAAGAGAGCGCTAGAGTCCCCGCCGTTAATCGACAGTAAAGCAAGCGTCGCCGCTGCTGCAGCCAAGGCTGCGAAAAAAGCGAGTTCCCGCAGGGAAGAGTTGTTGAAACAACTGAAAGCCGTGGAGGACGCGATTGCCCGTAAGAGATCGAAAGTTTAATAGCTCGTGTTCTTCGTTGCTTTGGAAACAAGTATGTATACGCGCAACCGATAATGCGTACATTTTCCGGATATAATTCTGTAACTATCTATTGTAACGTAGCCCACGATATGAAGACAAAAAAGGAAAGTTCATATCAGAGAGAAAAAGATATTTCTCTACTTTCCTCATTTTTTTTAATCACGACGATAGTCGTATAATTTTCATTGTTCAATCTTTGTTCTCGTTTACATATACAGAGTGTTCGATCTGATAGTGGAAAAACTGAAAGAATTAACTCTAAGAGTGAAGATAAAGCTTTTGAAATCACACTTTAAATTCGCTCACGCCAGAAGCCGAACACCGTGTGTCTACATAAATCTAAAACTGCATCGCCCATTAGCTTGTTCGTTGAATCAATTGGAAGTCGCAAAACATTGCGCGCTTACATAAACGTAAAAAACTTTGACGTTGCACATGTTCCTAGAGATAATTATCATAGCGACTTGTAATGATAATGGATAGAAATGAAGCCTGTGCAAACTATAAAACGACGTCTTCAAACTGCCAAATGTACGGGAATAAAAATATGTAACGTATTTATTTACGAGGTGATTTCGTCTACTTCGATGATGGTAATGAGTTCGAGCTTTTAAAAGTAGATGCAAGACACGGATATTCGGTGATACGTAAACGACGATACAGTATCGTATCGAGAGAAATCTCTTCCTTTTTTTTTTAGTTCTATTAACTTACAGTCATTACATTCGCACTCACTATCGTATTAGCATTATTACTTTACTTGTGTCGATTAAAGATATATGAATTTGGACATTCACATTGGAGATTTCGTTAATGGAACATCAGATGTTATCCAACGCGTGCATATTTTCCAATAGCTGTCTTTATGATACAAAGATTCCTCGTCGATATCCGCGGGATAGCTGACGATTAAAGTAATTTTACCACACGTAGACAGCGGATAAACTTAGTATAAAAATTGAATAAGAAACAAAATGTATTCTTTCATACAGAATCCAATGCTCTACTGTAAGTTTCCTTTTTCAAGACGGGTGTAAACATAAAAGTGACGCAAATATAAAATTTGATAATCGATCAAGAACATGCAAATATATTCTCATCCACTAATATTTAATCTAATGAAAAAAAAAGAGAACACTCTTATTAACAATAGAATTTATTAAATTACGAGACAGCATCGTAAGACGAGTGTCTCTAACAGTAATAATTATGTATGTAATGTACACAATATATATATATGTATAAAATAAGTTTATTAACAGTCCATAGAGGGATAGGAAAAGAGCCGTATCATGTTCAACCATAGTATTATATACAAATTGGGAATTAAATTAGATCGGACATTGCGACACTTACGCGGACAGATGATATTATTGTACGAAGTATGAAAGTGACAAGCATCCGTTCAACAAGAAAACAACACCAGTAATATGCAGTTTATAAGTATACACACATTAAATTATTATGAACATTTGAAGAATTTGGTAAACTGTTGTTGGAATTAAGCTTTTACAACTTTTGAATAGCTACTTACACGAGAAAAAAATAAATTTTCAGAATTATTTTAAATAAATTCAAGCATACTTTTTTCTTTGAATAAGACGTTTTTATATTTAATGTATGTACACGTATGCATGTGTATATATATATATATATATATAAAAAATGATTTAAAAACTATTGGGAACGATGATGATCAACCCCCATTCGATAAAATTGAAACTTTAGAATGAGTCATTGATCTTTCTACGTTCTCGCAGCGGTTACCTCGGATTCAGTGTCATTCTCCTGAACCGTGCGAATAGGAAGTCCCATAAATCTATTCGTACCGTTTAATGTGCTACGCCTCGTTCTTACCGAACTACTGTCATGGTTTTTCACTTCGTTGTACTTAAATAAACCGTCACCGGGAGCAGGTAACGAGCTGGGTATTTTGAACCACCACTGGTACGTGACGTACCACGTTAGGACGGCAGCTATGCCCCCGAGGAATTTCTCTATCATAATGTGATAATAGAGCATCGTGGTTATCAACATAGCATCCCAGAGTAACTGCTGGATGGTCATCACGACGAACAGACCTCTCAGGTACGGCGTGAGCGCTTTGTGTGCCTTTTTTAAAAAGTCCAGGTCGTTGTTCGAGAGATTTCGAAGCGGACCGGTACTGGACTCGTTCTGAGTGACCCGCGTGTGCTCCTCCCGCATAATCAGATCCTTTATGCCCTCCCATCCGACCACGGACGAACCCTCCTCTGCTAAGATCAGGCTGGAGTATATGAGAATGAATGTGTGCCCGGATATGTCGAAACCGCTCCAGAATTTCCCGGCCTGGAGGCACTTCGCCTTCGTCTGCAGTAGCACGTCCCTTGTGTTTAAACATCGACCGTAAGTCGTCTCCACATAAGAGAACATCCTGGTCCAGAAGAGCCACGCGGCCGTGGCCAGGATCAATCTGGCGAGGTGTTTCAACAGAACCGACTTGCGACCGCAGCCGAGTGTGTGCGCGGTCAACACGACCCACGGTACGGTCACGGTCAGCAACCATCCCCAGCCCCATTTAACGAAGTACCGATTGATCGCGTTATCCGAACGCGAGAAATAAGTCCTAGGCATAGTAACGAAGTCCGCTATCAGCGACACTATGAATAACGCGCCGCAGTATATGGCGACCTTGAGTCTGGTGTCGAAGAGCAACGATTTCTTGCATATGTGCAAGAACATCGTGACAAGAACGAGACCGATGGAGCTCGGTGCGGCGGTCGGCCTGGTGCCGCCTCGGTCCTCTTGACTCGAGCTCGGCGGACGGAAATTCAAGCGGCTCGCCGACGAGCCAAACATCGCCGAGCTGCCGGACGTCGTATGTATGCCTCTTCGTTTCCCTGCGGCCATCGTGCGCGATTAATCGGCGGAGGTTATCGTATACGTACTTTAACGATTGTTCAAAGTATGCAGTCGCATCGCCGCATGGCAAATCTCTCGCCTCTCTCGCTCCCACGTGATGAAGGTTATTCTACCCTGAGATTCCTCTGCTCTTTATCGTTCCCTTTAAAACTGTGTAGCCTCGAGTAGATTATGTGTGTACTGTGGATCAGCTGGTTTTGTACTGAAGTACTCACTGAACTGGATTATCAATGTGTATCATGTGTATTTATAGAACACCCGTTACTCGAAATAGTACTACATACGTACGTATACTTTGCGTACGTTTACGATTCTCTCACTACGCCGACTACACTGATACCGATTTGCTTCGTCATCCTATTAAAGAGTCCACGGGCTACTCCAACAGTTTATAGAAACCCCCACTACTAACATCGACGCGTTTTAAATTGATACTTTGTACTTTCACCTCAAGTATCCTTTTTAGATGGAAAACGAAGAATTTGAAAAATGTTTGACTCGATTTAATTTTCATTGTTTTCATTCAAAATATTTATATATCTACGTGATTCTTATTGTTAATCAAACGGACTCTAATAGAATCAAGTAAAACTGTAGGATTAATTTTATTCTGATAAAAAATGCAGTCCCAGTAAAACAATAGCAAATTCAAACGAAATGAAACATTATATTTTGGAACAGTAGATAATTTACAATATAAAAACTGAAAGAATCGTACATACGAGTGTATCTGACTAGAGTAAAGACCTTTATTAGTTCTCGTTTGTAACATTAATACTAGCGTCTATGTGCAATAAGCTCTCTGTCGTCTCTCCTCCTACTTTAGCAAAGTATTCAATCGAGTAAATGTACATAAAATAATTTGATACAAACGACACTAGGTGATATTTAAAAACAAGGAACTATCCATCTGTTGAACGCATAAAAACTTTCAGTATGTTTCCTTTACTAACAATACGATTTCTTCGTGACGTTTGTATAGTTTTCGCAAGGCACCATTGAGAGTTATTTTAAAATAGACACCGACAATGACCGTACGTTATGAAAATTATTCTAGTAAATTAGGCGCCAGTGAAAATCGTTGCTATGTTAGTACTAAGTCTTGACTAGCTCTAACAATTTTATGGCCAAACATTCATTGATTGTTAATGCTACCGCGTCAGCGTATTTAAAGTTATTTATGAAACTGATTCCTCTCGAGTATCGATGATAAGATGGTTGCTCTTGTATCTCGCGAAATTTAGGAATCGAATGAAACGAGGATTAAACTGTAGCGTGGGGCAAGCCTGCCAAGAGCGAATCTAACTTTACGACCTGCACTTTTGACGTTAACACGTTCGGCGATTCTACGTCGTACGAAGACCAATAGGTGATCAGTTCTGGGAAACCATCGTTGCTGATGTAATCGATCTTGATCGAACTGAACCGTGCACGCGAACTCAAATCCGGCTGACATTCGCCGTCGCGACACAATTGAATGATATCGCTTTGACTGGCGTTCATAACTTGTACATCCGTATAGTTCACGAACACTATCAATACTCTTTCTATCAACCTTCTCTCCGTAATGACGGATGCTTTCTTCGTGTGCTCGGACATAGAGTTGACCCACTGCCAAAATTTGATAGCGAACCCGGACGTGTAAGGTTTCTCTGGTAAAACCAGAATCGCCGGTTTCGATACGAAAGAATTCGGGCTGACGTGATCCCATATTATTTTCGACTGGTTCCCGTGTTTCAGTAAAGTTAGATTTACATTCGCTCTGCAGAATTTCCCTGGGCACGAGCCTTCGTTCTCTATCGACAGATGATGATACGGTGTACTCGTCCAGTTGGTCTGTTCCTCGTCGAACTTCAACGTTTTAAATGTTCGAAACGTCATCGGTGACGATTTCTTGTAATTCGTTAACTTCATAGCGTGCAGCAGTCCGTTGATCGTCATACTTTTCATCGCACCTGTGAACAAAGTGGAATAAAAATCAGATCATTTTACTCCATGCATCGTCTGGCTTAAACTCACTTTTCCTGTTACTATCGTAGCAAATGTACGATATCGTATCGTTGATTACATGATTGTATATATCGATAGACGAACAATTCACAGGCGAGTATCGGCCTAAGAGTTCACCCGTTCCTCCAGACAAGAGGACAAGATTGGGCATGTTTCTCGTGGCTATTTCTATGCTCAAAAGATCTTCTACTTTGTCCGAATTTACATCCGGTAGGATCAGAGGCAGTTTATCGAACGTATAAATCTTCGAGCTCCAATGTATCGTGCCTGCGATGGGTTCGATGCTGGCCAACAAGCCTTGATTCCCAACGACTATACAGTCCGGTTTCCCAGATCTATCAGTATCGATCGAATCGCAGTCAATCTCAGTTGGCGATCTTTTCAAAGAGACTAACCACAATGCTAAACCACTGTTCGCTTGCATAGACATGACTCCTCCCCCGTTTGCTGATATTTGCCTTTGATCGTTACTCGTGTCGTTCTCTCTGTACCGCTGTCCGCGAATCAGCAATATCAAATTCGGTGGATTTCGACGAATAATGGAAATAGGACCGTGTAACTCTGAAAATGTTGGACGTTTAATCATTTGCGATGGACCGATTCATTTAAAACCTTACCCATCCCTTGTAATGGTCTGTCCCAGGATATAGACGATTCGGGTTCATTCACCGAAGGGCATACTATCGAATTGTCACAAGGTAAAACGTATAGAAATATAATTATCGTTACGATGCACAGCAGCACTGAAGCGATCAGAAAAAATCTTCGCAGAGACGACATGTTCCGGTCCTTCCATAAATCATTCTGGTCGTTCCCTTCAACTACCATTATCGGTATATCATCTCTGTAGTATTTGAGCGTGTTCTGTCCATTTCTCATACGATTTCCTAACTTTTTCGTTTCATCCAATGGATAATACACTCCATTTTCATGGATAGTCGTTGCTTGCTACAATCAAAGTCAAAGATTTCAGTCTTTATCGAGATACGTCGAGATACGAGAGTGTCTTCGTCATAATTGTCGATTTATCTTTAATTACCGGTTGCGTATCCTGGACGTGATCCTTCGAGGTTTCGCTCGGTTGGGCCAGACAGTCCTCTTCATCTTCCGTGTCGGTGTTGCTTATACTTTGCGGTAAAGGTGCATAACCTTTCGGTCCGTGATGATCCGACATATCGAACGGTACACCGCGAATACGATAGATTCGATTGTGTATTTATGAATACAAACGTACAATTTATTTATTTATTCGTTTATGTCATCGTCGCAACACCGTTCGGGATTGGGATACTATTTAGAGGAGATGGTCGGACGGCGGATAACGAATGATAGCGAAACGTGAGCATACTCAAAATTGCTCAAAATTCAAAATCGATACATCACAACAAAGTAATAGGATTGTTAGCGATCTTAACGAGAGTTCTATCGATTATAGAATTAACGATCAGATTTTGATCAAATTTGATATACCGTTAGATAAAACTTTTAAAACGCATAGAATTTTAAACAGCGAGGATACCCGATGAAATGCGTCTTGTGAGAAACAGCGTCCGTTAAGGGAAAGTAACAGAATTTATTTATGAGATTTGAGGAATTTCAGGAAGACTAGGGTATTATAAGATCCGCGTGAGCTGGGAGCTTCGTCTAATGGAGAAAGACATCCGATTCTATAAAAATTCCTTCTAGATCTGATCACTTGTGAGTAATTAACCGTAGTTCTTCACTTGGTACCATTCTGAAGAACAGCGAGCCCATGTCTTCGCACATTCAGATTATTAACAATAAGATACAAAGGGTAATTTTAACATCTTCCAGAAATTTATTCTTTTGTTTTGTGTACTACTACATAAATACATATTTCATAAACTTAAAGTCATCTTCTGTTAAGAATCTAATATATAATTAATATTTGTTATCTCACAAAACTATCTACACATATTTATTTTTTTATGCCTTCTATTAAATAAATATACTTACATTTATCCATTTACGTTTGCTTTTACATTTTATACACATATAAGTTTACATCAATAGTTTCCAACATTGAAACAATGTACAAACAAAGCATCGATTGGTAAAGGGGGGATACATACAAATATTTAATCAGGTTAGGTACATACATCGCATAATTTGTTCGCGACGTGTAAATTAATCATGTAAAATATACGTGTCTAATACGTTTCAATTGGAAATGTAATGTGATCACACGAAAATATTACCATTTGTGCCATATTCTTCGCGTAATCATGCGAATGGGAAATATTCTTATTTCTATCAATAATTGGCACAATTAAAAATGTATTAGAAACAAGTTGGAGAATGCTTCTCTACAGAAGTCAGTATTTCAAATAATTATCTCGAAGATCACACGTAAATTTGCATCGCCTTTAAAAAATCGAAAGAAAACGACATTTAATGTGAAAGACAGTTACATTTCCATTTAATTATTTCTTACAGTAGAATTAGCAAAAATCAATTCTGTTCACATCTTTCTATTCTTCTTTACATTACAAATGTTATACATCTAATTAAAGAAGCAAATGTTCAGTACCATGATATTCAATAAATATTGCAAATATGTATATATATATATATATTAGTTACGAATGGAATAATTCATTGTAAATTATGATTATGAATGACTTAAAGTAGTTCATACGAAAACGAATGTATTGTACACGTAATAATAGCCCCTCAAAAAATATAGAGACTTTTTTATAATTTTCAAATGAAATAATTCATGTTCGCTATTCCAAATTAATTTTACGTACGAGATTCGTATTTATTACTACCGCTCTTAAATGCATAATCAGGATTTAAAAATATATTGAGATCTGATCGATTTAAATATGTATCGTATAATCTAAAGTTGAGAAAAGTGTTTCGTATTTATCTTCTTCGTCAATAAGTGTATGACTTATCGAAGAAAGGAAAAATGATTAAAAAGATATTTTAGAAACATTCGAAATATCAGCGAGCTATTTAAAAATGTATTTATAGTACGAAATTGGAAGTTTGTTTCTTTGTAACGTATAGTATACTCGACGTTCTTTGGTTTAACTAATATAAAAAGAAACATACAATAAAATTTCTATCGTTATCCTCTTCACCATCACAGTTTAATAAAAAAGAAAGGTACCGTTTTCGCTTTAGAAAATGGACTGTTCGACGCGGAATGCAAAATAACTGCAAGCGTTGCACGTTTCTTAATTATAAATGAACTTGATTCTTTTAATTTCATTCGGTATACTATTGCGATTAACATCGTTAATGCTGAATTCATAAACATACATTGCACGATATTCGAACGTTAGAGACACTTCGAACGTTCCTTTTGCTATTTAAAAACAATTTCGCTTATACTAATACCGATTACCATTAGTAATAGAACGTTAATTCAACAAACCTTTATGTTCTAACGAGTCCCTTAGACTCTGGAACAATTGCAACTGCTGCTCCGGCTTCAATCCATAAACCTAGATAACGAAAAGCAGATCGGTTTTAATTTCGTTCACCATCAAATTCAAATTACTCGCGTTTACCTGTTGCAAAAGTTTCTGAGGCGACGCAGTTTGAATAAACGAAGATATATAGACGTTTACAAATGTGGCCATTAAATATTGGCAATCGAATCTGTCCATTATTCCCCCATGGCCAGGAATAATATCACCGAAGTCCTGCGACGATAGCAAGGAATAAAATAAATAAATTGTTCAAATTCAATCTCAGGATAAATATATTACCTTGATTTTAAATGCCCTCTTAAAACCGCTAGCGAAAAATCCTCCGAACGGACCGATCACGGAACTGAATACTGACATTGATAACGAATGAAGTAAGAATGGATAAAAAGTTATCGTCGACTTTCCGCTATACTGTAGAAGAAAATTCTCATTTAATCTCATATGTATTTATGTGAAGATTTCTCAGTTCTTTACCATTTTCCATATAACTTGTAAACTACTAGGCAACGTGTATTCCTGAAGTTGGAACAACGAAGACGGCTCGCAATCCATGGTCATTCGTCCTAAAGCCTCACTATATTCAATCGGACAAACGAAGTAGCGGTACTGACACATCACGTAGGATATCTGTAATTAAAAACATTCTGTTCAAGTAGATGCAACAGATGTAACTGTTGTTCATTCAAAAGTTTAACAAACTTACCACCAAACCGAGTATAACCGTTGATATACCACCGCCTATGAATCCTTCCCAAGTCTTTTTCGGTGACAATTTAATCAAAGGCGTTTTACCGAAAAAGAAACCGAACATATACGCCATCACATCGTTCACCACTATCATGCTAACTGGAACGATGAACCTGAAACGGTATATAACAGTATATCTATCCTTGCCAATGTAATTGCTGAAACAACAGATAAAGATAATAATTGCTGACCATATCAAGCCTTCGAAGATATTCTTAATTATCAGGTAACTCTGTGTGACAACGATGAGTAGAGCTACGTGTGTCCAAGCGAATAGAGAAAACTGTTTCATGTAATATTTTTTCACGAGAGACAATACGAACCATACAAAACCAACGATGTACAAGCAAAACGAAATGAAACGATGATAGGTAACAAGCACGCGCAGATATTCCTGTAAATAAAGAGGATAGATTATTAATTTATTACGATTGTGAAAAATTTCATGTTTCACAGAAGTTCAGTATTCAATTCATTTAAAATGATATACGAGAGACCTTACAAGCGAGGACTAGAAACCATACAAAGTATTCAAAGATAATGCACCTGGTAGCTTTGTTTATTGATTTTATGCCAACGCTAGATGCGTTCATAAAGATGTGCTTTTTAATTTAATTCAATTGCATGCTCTTGAGATAAACTACGCTTACTGTTCTGTTAATCACCACAGCGAAGTAGTCCATTAAATTTTCTCCGTAAAAGAAGTAATTGGAAGTAATTAGGAAATACCATGATAAAGATCTGAACCATGGTAAACCGTGGATTCTATAGACTGCATAGCCGATGTTAATGATCTCTTGAAAGCATTTCACTTGGACAACTAGTGTCTGAAAAATAAGATGGAAAAGATATTTAGCAGGACGAATAGAAAGAAGTATTTGTAAAGCTAATGAGTAAGACTTACTGTCGCCATCAATGCTAATGGACCGATGTAAATAATGCCACAAAAGCCAGCGATCATAAACAGGGTAAAAATACTCCTGATCACCCAGTTTCTCCAGCTATTAAAACGAATTCATTTTTGTCGATCAACCAATCTTTTTATATGTCATCGTTCGTAATAAATTATATTTCAACGGCTCACCGATCGGATAAACCAGAGAGAGCTGAGTCCAAAATGTGAGGTGTATGATCTGTTCCCTGTGGCAAGGTCTTAGCCAGATCATCGACTTCCAACTTCGCATCGTCTTCAGATTCCACATCTTCCTTCTACAAGATATACAATCAAAATTGTTCATTGATAGCATTAAATATATCATATTTCATAATTCTTCTAAAGAATTAAGAATGTAATTAGGAATGCAGATTGTGATGCTAGTAATTTTTGAAGTATCATGAATGAAAATAACAGAGTGATAAAAATAAGAATGTTTAATTGCAGTCGTCAGACGTATACATGTGTACCGTAGATGCATAGCGAAAATATTTGTTACGTGATGGTGTTGGGGATTGTGGTTTAGTGTTAGTAGCTGTCACGGTACTGTGTTCAATTTATTCGAACGTGTATATCATCTAAAGGACAGAGGTCAAGTCGTAGTCGGCCGCGTTTAATGACCGTAAAACGGTTCAAGGATAAAACTGTCTCGCCGCTAAAATTACTTACGGGGAACCTCACGGTAAAACATGAGGAAAGTCCATTTACCTGATCGTCACTGACATCCCGCCTTTCCGTATCACTAACTATTCTTTTACGAACTTCCGACATCCTCGGAATTTATCCGACGGCACTCACGCGCGTATAAAAAACTTTAAACGAAATATATCACTGCGACGATCGACTCGTATGAAACAACAGCATATTTACATGTTTAAATGATTAATCGAACGGAGCGGACGTGACAGACAACTATCATACTTGCGCAAACCAAACTGACAGGTTACCGCAGGGTATAATCATCGTTGACTGTTCGGCTCGCCTCGAGCATCTCCGGAAAATCAATGATTAAAAAAAATTCAACGAAATTTAATGCTTTGTCCACAACATGTGTTGCAACCAGTAATCAATCATTTATATACTGTTTGTATAAAATAGTATTTTAGGTACAACACTTTGATGAATGAATTCAAATTTGCATACATCGTTTCGTCACGATTTTTATTTCTTAAAATCTTAGTTTCTCCAACACGCAAGGCAGCGCTAAATCATAGCCAACTTGGCTTAGCTACGTCTTGTTAATGATTGTTAAAATGGACCGGAGATGTAACATTTGTAAAATCCTTGCCTTGGACGCGTTGCATTAAAACATGAAAGGTATCATCAAGAAATAGTACATTCCAAACTGTTTGAGTATTTCGGGCGAATAAGCATTTCATACTCCAAGCTGTAATAGCGTCGGCAACATGACATTACCTGGGATCGGAGTGTTTGGTACAGGAAGCATCGTCAGGATTATCATCCCTTTTTTGAGAGAGAAGGGTTTTCGAATCGAAGCTATATGGGGACGCACGCTGGCAGAGGTGTCAGAAGTCGCGACCGACCTGGAGATACCGTTTCATACTAGTCGAATCGACGACGTGCTTCTTAGGAAGGATGTCGATTTAATTTTCATCATGTGTTCACCGAGTTTGCATGCACAAATTGCTGTGAAAGCATTAGGAATAGGGAAGCACGTCGTGTGCGATAAACCTGCAGGCTTGAGTCAAAGCGAAGCACTGAAAATGGTACGAGCTGCACAATATTATCCTTCTCTGATAAGCATCGTCAATCATAGTTTAAGATTTCTACCAGCGTTCGTTCATATGAAGAAAGCTTTGGAAGAAGGCTATTTGAACGGCCCTGTAAATGTTATAGAAGTCAGAGTACACATGGGAAGTTTGTTACACGATGGTTAGTAACATTTAACATCTTTCTTATGTACAATTAAGACCATAGAACATAGTTTCGTTAATTGTTGCAGGCTACGACTGGCTGTGCGACGATACGATGGGAGGAGGAATATTGGCATTAGTCGGCAGTCACGTGATAGATCTAATTTTTCATTTGATCAATCGTCGTGCTACAAGAGTACACGCCGTGGTCAAGACTTTTACTCAAACTACGAAACATATAAATGGTATCAGGCATGTTACGTCTCCAGATTTCTGTAGCTTCCAAATGGAATTGAACGGTGGTACACTAGTAACAGCGACGTTGAGTAATCACTTGCAAGGCCAACTTTCTCAAGAAGTATTAATATGCGGAGGCGGTAATCATCTTCTCGTACGCGGAGGAGATTTACTTGGTTGTCGCAACGGACAGGAAGAAATGCTGTTTCGTGACATGGACGATTTACAAGACATATCTTTCCCGATTTCCGACTCTATTCCAAGACCGTACATCAAGGGGCTGAGAAAAATGATCACTGCGTTGAGGGAAGCTTTCCAATCTGTCGAAGACAAGAAGGGATGGGTGAAGGAGCCAGTGTTCTCTGCATCGTCCTTCGAAGACGGATTATACGTACAAGCAGTTATTGACGCTCTAAGACAGAGTAATAAACGTCGAGAGTGGGTGAAAGTGAATATCTTAACTGAAGAACCAGATCCAAACCCTTTGCTAAGTGCAGCTGTTCGAGCTACGGCTATATCGATATAAAGTAAATCTCTAAACAAGTTTATAACTAATTAAAAGAGTATTCTGGTTTTGAACTTCTTCGAACAATTTCTAATAATCTTTTTAAAAGAACTATCGAAGATTTTCCATGTACATTGATGGGTATTCAAAGTACATAATGAATATTTTTGCCAACAGTTAATGAAAAAAGACGATGGCATAGTTCTTTTAAAAAATGCAGAAGTCTAACAAATAGCAGATTAAAATTTTACAGTTATTGCTTGGAAGGCAGCTATTATTGTTGAATACGATGTAAAGTATTCGTTTTACACTGTAAATGTATATGTATATTTTAAATAATGTATAGCTCTGTCCGTGTTTCAGTAGAGATAGCTAATTTATAAATAACACACGTAGAGCTAAGCTATCACTTTAAACTAATTTATATTCACATGAACATTAAATAAATTTTACTGTAAATAAAATTTTTTATTTTTTGCTAACTTACTGTATTTTCTTTCGTTACTCCGCGGATTTCCACTGCTACGTACACTATTTCAATTTATACAATGTAATAATTAGTTGTAATAAATATTCAAAATTTTGATCAAATACAAACTTTGANTGCTTGTCTCACCTTTCCATATGTCTTTGTTAATTGTAAAAGAATCTATTCACATTTTTGGTTTAACAATCCCAGAACACTATCTTTCAAATAAGAAATTACTTTCATAGAATAACTATGATAGAAAGTCTGTAAGTGAGGATGATAGGAAGTGAAATAAATAAGGTAATTATAAATTCTTTGTAGGACAATCGTATTAAGAAATTCATGATTGTAAGTGGGCGTTTAAACGAGATAACTAGGCGATTTCTAAGAGCTCAGTATTGTTCTTATGCTAAAATGACTTCTTTGCTGGTTCCTCCGGAATCAGTACGGGGAATGACACGTTTGGACCGTGATGCGTTCACAAAGACCGTGGAATTACCATATTTGCGGTTTCACGACATTAAACCGTCGGAAATATTGCCGATCATGAAGAAGTATCTGTTTAAATCGAGACGCTTCAAACCAGTTCAGAATGCGGACGACAAGACCGTCATATATCTGGATCCGAATTTGATAACGAGTCTCGACGATCTTGGAGCCAGTATAAAGAAACAGTTACTCGAAATGTACGAACAGTTTGAGGAATTTGGAACGGCGAAGGTAACTTTAACTTATGATAATTGGCAGCCTCATGATATGTTAAGGGCCATCTTACCTGAAGAAATCGAAGTCCCGACTTCGTTCAGTTTAATTGGCCATATCGTCCATTTGAATCTGCGCGATGCGCATTTACCTTATAAAAATATAATCGGCGAGGTGTACCTCGATACCGTTCCAAGCGCACGGACAGTCGTGAATAAAACTAATGCTATCGATACGACGTTCAGGAACTTCACTATGGAAATCCTCGCCGGTGACAAAGACACCGTCACGACGGTGAAGGAGCACGGTTTTACGTACGAGCTAGATTTTTCCCAAGTTTATTGGAACACCCGATTAAGCACGGAACATCATAACTTAGTAATGCTCATGAAACCTAAGGACGTTTTATACGACGTCTTCGCTGGTATCGGACCGTTCGCTGTTCCCGCGGCTCGTAAAGGGGTCAAAGTGTTCGCAAACGATTTGAACCCCGAGTCTTACAAATGGCTACAAAGAAACATGATCATTAATAAAGTTAAAAATAATGTCAAATGCTTTAATATGGACGGTAGAGAATTTTTGACAACCGTTTTTAAAGACGATCTCTTAAACAGGCGAGCTAATAACGAGATTGGTACTGAACATATCGTGATGAATTTGCCTGCGGTCGCTGTCGATTTCTTAGACGTGTTTTTCGAATCGTTCAATCGAGATGAAATTAAACGAATATGCCTTCGATCGCCGATCGTACATCTGTACTGCTTCGTAAAAGCGAACAAGGGCCAGGACGCTTGTAAATTGGGACAGGAGCTGGTAGAACGAAAACTCGGTTCTATGTTAAATTCCGATTGTCTGTTTGAATTACGTCACGTTAGGAACGTTTCTACTTCTGTTGAGATGATACGTGTATCATTTCGGTTACACGAGAATATATTGAAAGGCGAGGAGCCAGCAATGAAGAAACTGAAGGTCGACAATAATTTCGATGTAATTGTACGGGATAACGTTCCAGAGAACGATGGCCAAGAAGAAGAGTACGCAGAAAAAACAGCAGAACAAGAATGTGTTCAAAGTAGCGAAAGTTCGTAGCGTTAAGCTGAAGGCAAAAGCGCAGAAGGTCATGACGAATTTGAAGAAAGTGAGTAAATCCTGGGAAGAAGTGTAGTTTAAATATTTCTTTGAACTTGAGAATATATCTGTCAAAGTTGCTTAGGAATGTCTATATGTATCTTAACATTTTTGTTAACCGTGTAATACAATAATGTTTCTTCGTTTCAACAGTTAGAAGTGAAAGAAAAAGCGGCCGTGGGACGGAGAGATAAAACGGCGCAGATCGATCAGCAGCTTCAAGAGCTACGGAAGGAAATACAAGCGAAACCGAAAGTGAAGGAGAACAGTTCGAAGAAAGGAAGAAAGAAGAAAACTCAGGTGAAATCGCCGGTGAAAACCGACGCGGCAACTTCCCTCATTGAGAAAATGCGAATTGGAAAATGATTCTTAACGCGAAGACGAATCGTTCACAATGTTTGCTTTGTAAAATGCAATATAATAATATGTATATTATGTAAAATTTGATCGAATAAATTTTGTATGAAACGAACGCAACTGTTACAAGAATATTTCCTTTCCCTCCTATTCAGTTCTTTTCATGCCTATTCAGAATTTCGGTCACATTGTAATCAGTTCTTGTTTGTTTAATGATAACACACTATCTTTACTTTGTACCTCGTACATTTTTAATAATAGAATAGAAGTCAGGTGTAGTACAAAATTATTCATAATTGCGGAACCGTTTTAATTTGCGTAGAGAGAACTGTCCGAGATGGAGGTCGTCTATACTGCTGGATTGATTATAATAGGAGACGAAATTCTACGCGGCCAAATCGTAGACACGAACACATCGTATTTGGCGAAACGACTAAGAGCTTCTGGTATCAGACTTCGAAGAATAACTGTGGTTCCTGACGTTGTGTGTATTCCTTAATTGCTTTTTATATTCTTATTCATTTAAATTTCGATCGCTTGCTTTCTCATACATTAGATTGTTATAATTAGATTGTCGATGACTAAACTCTGTAGGCAAATTGAATCATCTAATCCTTAATATATCTGCTGTTCTATAGACAAGCTTTAAAAAATTTCAATCATTTATCAAGCGACTTTCTTCTATTTATGAAGAAAATAAAGATGGAATCAGATTGCTTATGGAAATGAATTAGCTAATAACAGAAATTGAGACGTTCTAAATTCTCACTACTTGTAATGTAGCCTTTTATGTCAGGTAGATGAAATTGCGGAGATCGTGCGTGCAGCTTCCCAAAAGTATTCCGTTGTGTTCACATCAGGCGGTGTTGGACCTACTCACGATGACGTGACATTCCGAGCGATCGCGAAAGGTTTGGAATTGAAACTCGAAGCCCATGAAGAATTAATCAACGTCTATTCCGATCTCTTCCCTAACGACGAAGAAGCTAAGCGCCTGGCTATTGTACCGAGGCCCTCAGAACTTGTATACGTTTGTGCACCAAGTAAGTCCATTTCCTTTTTAGTTTAATTTAAAGAGTACACGCATGGTTGTTAGAAAATAATTAAATTGAAATGGTGGAGACACAACTTCTGGATAGATGTTAACTTTTAAGTGAGCGTGTTAATGATAATTTTCAGAGAAATATGCTGTCGTAAAAGCGAAGAACGTGTATGCGTTACCGGGTTCTCCAAAATACTTCCAGCCCGCCGTCGACGTGATTCTACGCCAGTTGAAGGGGGATAGTCCTATGCATTTTGAAGAAGTAGACGTAAATTTAAATGAATTGTCGATAGTAAAAATTCTGGATGAACACGCGGAACGTTGGAAGGGCAAAGTGAATCTGGGCAGTTATCCACAAACGACAGAGGAATTCACAAGGATCACGTTGGAGGGTGACAAGGAAGACGTTTTACAAGCGAAGGCAGAACTGTTGCATTGTCTACCGATCCAGAAGATACGAAATTTAGAAAACGGATTTAGTATTCATCACGCGAGATCCGTTCTAAAAACTGCCGAGAACGAGCCCCACGTAGAGTCCTCATTGAACATTTTAAGACAATGTTATAAAACGTGAGTAAATTGGTGCTTGAACATAACATATTAAGATGTAATTGCTATGAAGCTATTAAATTCATTTTATATATTCTATTAACAAATTAAGATATAAACCGGAGGAGGTTTTCATAAGTTTTAATGGTGGAAAGGATTGCACGGTTGTTTTGCACTTGGCTGCCTGCGTTGCTAGTTTAGAAAGCATCTCATCGCCGCTGTTGTGCTTGTACGTAACAGCCGAGCCATTTCCAGAGGTAATAAGGAATTAAATGTTTCTATTACTATTTCATAATAATTTATTTCATACGCGTTAAGGTGGACTCGTTTGTGGAGAGGGCTTTCAAATACTACGGTTTGCAACTTGTGAAGAAGGAAAGTCCCATGCGAGCAGCGTTGACGTCGCTACTAAGGGAAAGACCAACTTTGAAAGCGAGTCTCATGGGGATGAGGAAAGGCGACCCGGGATCGGAAAATTTGCAACCTTTCTCACCGACGGATCCCAGTTGGCCCAACTTGATTCGCGTCAATCCGATCTTACATTGGACGTACGATCATATTTGGAAATTTTTGCTGCAACACAACGTACCTTACTGCTCATTGTACGACGAAGGGTACACGAGTTTAGGGACGAAATCGACGACTATACCGAATCCGCGATTACGGGATCCTAAGGATTCGTCATCGTACTTGCCGGCGTATACGTTGACTGATGAATCCGCCGAAAGGCAAGGAAGGGTATAATAACTGAGAAGAAATAGGCACAAGAATTGGACAGTATTTTTGTTGCAAATTCTATGCAGCTCGAAGACGCTTATTGTTAAGTAGGAGACAAGAGATATTTTATTTTTCAAGTATTTGAAATGAATTATAAATTGCGTATTGATTATTCGACGTTTATGGGTATGGCTGTACGATTGTGACAGCGAAAGTATTAAAAATGATTTACTGAGAACACTTTTGTATGATAAAAATTGTGCAAGTTTTATTAAATAAACTGGATTCCTGATCATCGAATCGTTGTTTTATTCTTTATGTTATCAAAGTTTGGCTAGCAACTTTTTAGGATTACGATTTATAGTACTATAGGAATAGGAATTTTCCAAATCGTTTGATCGATTATTTATATTAGAAAAAAGATATCTGAAGAGGTAGAGTATAATACTTCCCATTTCTCATATACTTCTGATCACCGTTAGCGTTAACGTTTATATTGACGAATATACACGTTCCCTCGAAGTTACAATATTAAGCTCGATGAAAGCAACTTCCGCGGGTATAATCGAGATTTTCATTGACGATTCATCAGGCTAATTCGTCTATGACGTTGATGCTGGTTTCTGCTGACCTGGAGGAACCAAGGGGATGATCCCGGCTGATCCTCCCGCGAAGCCATCGAAGCTAACGGATTAGGGTTTCGTCTATCCGAGGGGGTAGGTAAGCATGGTATAAAACGGCCTGACGATCGGCCGTATTAAGGAGAGGGGCTGGCGGACGGCGTGACCCCGACATGTCCAACGAGAGTATCCGGTGGGAGGCAAGGTACGCGGGACCAGCAGGACCACCGCGTTTGCTGGGATGGAACGTACCTCCCGAAGAGATAATTCACATACCGGAGCACTGGCTGGTCTATCCCGAGCCGAACCCCTCCCTTCATTATTTATTAGCCCTTCTTTACATCCTCTTCACCTTCCTCGCTTTGCTCGGGAACGGACTCGTGATATGGATCTTCTGCGCGTAAGTTCTCTGTGCTCTTAACTTCATCGTTGATCATCATTGGACTGCGGACTTTCATGCAATTATTTTTATAAATAGAATTCAAGTAACGAAAGTTGTGTTCACATCTAGAATAATATAAAATGTACATCGCATTCTTTAAATTATCGAATAGATTCCCATAAACGCACAAGCAGTCGCAGTCTAATTATCATAACATAATAATCGTCTTTATTTTGATCCAAGCGCCAAATCGCTGAGAACTCCGTCGAACATGTTCGTCGTCAATCTGGCGATCTGCGATTTCTTCATGATGATCAAGACGCCGATTTTCATTTACAATTCCTTTAACACCGGCTTCGCTCTCGGAAATTTAGGATGTCAGATATTCGCGGTGATCGGCTCCCTGACTGGGATCGGTGCCGCGATAACGAACGCTGCTATAGCGTACGACAGATACAGGTACGAAATTCATCTCTTCCAGATTAGGCAAAGTGCGCGTGTAATTAATAAGGGAAATCGATGAGTCCAATGGATATTTTATCGTAGTACAATAGCAAGACCGTTGGACGGGAAACTATCCCGTGGACAAGTGATGCTGTTCATCGTGTTAATTTGGACGTACACCATACCGTGGGCCCTGATGCCAGTGATGGGAGTTTGGGGACGTTTCGTGCCCGAGGGATTCCTTACTAGCTGCTCGTTCGATTACCTGACCGACAGCAACGAAATACGAGTATTCGTCGGGACTATATTCACCTTCTCCTACGCCATCCCGATGACCCTGATAATCTATTACTACAGCCAGATCGTCAGCCATGTCGTCAACCACGAGAAAGCGCTTAAAGAACAGGCGAAGAAGATGAACGTCGATAGTCTGAGAAGCAATCAGTCCTCCAACTCCCAAAGCGCTGAAATTCGCATAGCAAAGGTTAGTTCTTAGAAAATCATTATAAAATCCAAATCTCTTCCACCGATTCCACTCGTTTGACGTTTGACGGCAACGATTTAATTCATGTGTCTGTTCGAAGGCCGCCATTACGATCTGCTTCTTATTCATTTGCTCGTGGACTCCGTACGGTGTTATGGCCATGATAGGAGCGTTTGGTAATAAAGCGCTGTTGACTCCTGGCGTCACGATGATACCAGCTTGCACGTGCAAAGCTGTCGCTTGTTTAGACCCATACGTCTACGCCATAAGTCATCCCAGATATAGGTAAAGCTGTTCAATGAATTTCAAATATCTTCATCAATGGCTCGAAGTAACCCCCCTACCTCGTTCACCATTCTAGCCGTGATCCAATGAGTCGGACGTACGATCACTGAAAGATTCCAGACTTGCTTTTATGCTAAATGAGTTTAAAACATTTTCAGTCTCATTTTATTGTATAGACATGTTTTATTGTTATTCGTAGCGGGACAAATAGTACACAATCGATTTTTTAAATACATTTATTTGCAACAGGCTGGAACTGCAGAAACGGCTACCATGGCTAGAATTACAAGAGAAGCCGATATCCGACTCACAAAGTACGACGACCGAGACGGTGAATACCCCACCGGCAGCCTCGAGCTAAACGTTTCATTACCGGAACCGCTCTTCCTCGAAGCAATAAGAAAACTCTTGAAAGATGTTTGATTATTCTTCGACACTTTGAAATATCGAGACGCTCTCGCGGATCTTGTATAGCGGCAGCAATAAAGCAATTACCTGGCATGACTCCTGAATTTTCCTCTGTGTAATTTACATATTACACAATGTACATATTACATGTTACAAATACATATTATATTTTTCTCGCAAAATGTCTGGACATGTTACGGATGATACTTGTACGTATATAGATAAGCGACACTTTTCTGTAAAAGTATTTTTGTGACGATGAAAGAGAAGTTGTACGTGGGAAGGGATTTAATGGAAAATGGAATTCAATAAAACGATAAATAAAGAAATACTCTTGTAAGGAACAAAAATTGGCAAGTTTGCAACTTTATTCGTTTTTGTTTTTTTACATAGCTACGGTCGTCCCTAGGCCTTAAAGCGATTGAAAATAAAGTTAACTTATACGACCAAGATCACCGACGACGCTTTGCAACGGGTCAACGTTATACCGCAATGAACATTTTATATAACTGCGTTGCGTAATTCAGAATTGACTGCATATTATAATTTACTCGTCCGCAATTCTTTTGTACATTGTTCAAATAGCGATGTCTCGTTTAAAGAGCGTAGACCGGAGCGAATCATATGATTTGGCGATAAAAAATCGGGTAAAAAGTTATAAGTGTATCGTTTCGGTTGTATATACAGTCACAGACGTTTACATTATTATCATAAATCGATATAGTGTATAATTGGTGACCTATTTTAAAGAAAATATTCTTTCATAAATCATTCATTGTTAGTTAAACTTTCCCAAATGTTGACGAAAATAATAATTACACGATTGACGTTAAAACGATGCAACAGAATTAGCGATGAAAGGAAACCGGGGTATCGTCTTTTTTCATTCAATAAACTGCATGACATTTCTTTTCATAGCATGAATTTTCTTTCGCAATCTGGTCGACGCATTCAATTCCACCCACGTATGTACATAGCCTTTACTTTGTACTATATCGATACCAATTTCTTCTAAAGATGTGATCACAATAATCAGTTATAATTAGACCGCGGATTTTATGTATTCGTACGAAAATGAGACGTGCAGAAGATATAAATGTGTAGAACGTCGAAAGTAAAACTTACGCCATTTTTGGAGGTCAAAGGAAATCTTGATCTACGAACGATTTATTTTCCGTGAAAACCCGCGGTCTAATCATAATAGTAAATCACATTCTGTACACCGTCGTCGTTAGGAACTTTCTACTTTAACTCACAGAAGACATTGATTCGTTTAATAATTAAATACTTGAGTGAGGTGCAAGCGATTAAAAGGTGCCGAGATCTAGTAGTAGGTACGAAAAGAAGCAACTGTCCTGGTAAGGTGCACCCTGACATCTCATGCATAAATAAAAATGTTACACTACGAGATATAAAATAAGTTTCTTCTATTAATTACAACAGTCGTCGTTCAAATCCTGGCGTGAAATAAATTATAAAAATCACCAAGTCCCATTGTACTCGTCAAGATAAAAGTCTCGTGTTAAAAGAAGTCTACAGGCATCCACGCTGTTTTAATAAATACGTCACCGCTCGAAAGCTTAATTAACGAGGACGTTTTAACGGCGAAACAAAGTTCAGATTTCTCTTCTCGTTCGTTTGTTTCAAATTAATTAACCGTTTGTTAACTCGACAGAAGAATTGATTCCGAAAGGACGCTTCTCTTTGTAGAATGCTCGTTAGTAAAAAAGTTGAAAGCTCTTGAGCAACACTACGTATCGGTAAATAGTGGAGGCGCAAATCCCGCATTCGTAAGAAGTATTTTTCCATTCGATCTTTTTGCATATTACCCTTCAGGACATGCAAAAAAATCGAATGGGATCTGCTTCCTACGAATGCGAGGTTTTCGCCTCGACTAAAAGGATCTCTACCTATAAATACCTAGATTAAAAAATATTCGAAGCATGAACCCTTCAGACCACCGGTGTAACAAGGATCCCCAAATAGACGCGGCTAATTGTAAGTCTAAGGGGATTATCAACCATTCATTTTTCGATAAACAGCGACTGTACAATTATTTGTTTTCCCTACATCTACCATAACAATGAATAATAGAAATGCCATTAAGGATATGTATTTTACTGATGGTTCACCTAAAAATATCCGAGAGAACGTTTTCGTTCGTCCCTCGTTCCGATTACTATATCGAGTTGATAAAAACGTAGACACGAGAGAATAGACCGAGCGCCCGATGCATTCTTATTGACCCCGTAAAAGATGAAGGACACGTGCTTCGATAGAATAAGAAAGAATCTTTCATCCCTGGCTCCCCGTTCAGGTACTGGGCCTATTTTCTCGTATCTATGGATTAGAACGATCGAAAAATGAAAACTGTCCGGAGAAAAGAAAGGCGACTGAATTCTTGAGCATGCGTTGCAACTATTCTTAGCATCCGGTTGCTAATAATTATGCACGTCTTAATTAAACACGCTCGTGTCATATCCCTTTAGATTTTACGTTATTACCGAAGGCAGCCTGTATGCGTCGAGGGTAGAGACAGTGTTTTATAATGAGTCATAAGATTTATGAACGGTGTACATGGCACGTATGCAACGATGGTGCAATACGAGGATATGACACGAGAGGATACGCATCTTTATTGTATGCTTCTTCCTTTTATCTGCGAGGCCGGATTAAAGTTTTTTTTTTCGGGGCGTACAACTGCTGGCGTAAAAATTTGATCGGCGAAGTCAGTAAGTTAAAATTGATGATCTTCCCTTTAGCTTCTACTTTTGGAAGAAGATAAAATCCAAAAGCTGCTTTCCTTAAAAGTACGTACAATCCTAATCCGTGCTCGTTTACTACTCCTTTCCGTTTGTTTCGTCGTACGTATGAAACGTCGTTTTCTCAGGATATAATTTAATGGTTGTAGTACCTCTAGAGTATTGTGAATTAGATTAAAGTAATTCATCGGTCATTGCTCCTTTCAGTTGTATTAAATATTGTAAAGGACTCGAGGAACGAAATGACGTTCCATACGCACCGAACCCAGTACTTAAACGCAGCGGTGTAAAAGTATCGTTCTCGTTTGAGAAAACGTGATCATTATCGCAGCTAGTGTAGATACCTGGCTATAACACAGACGTTTACGTTGCGCTTCTGGCTAGTCCCCCTACGTGAGCACGTTTAACACGTTTCATCGTTTTCGATATCTACCTAAGTATACGTAAAAGTTACGTTAACTCGTTAAAAACAACCGAACTGAACTCGCATAGCTGTGTACGTGAAAAGGCGTTTTCATTTTCCGATTCCATCGCATGATGTTAAAAAATAGTACACCGTCACCGGAGAATCGTGACGAGATAGAGGAAACTCTCCCAGAGCGACGTTCGTATTTTATACGTGAACGAAGAAGAAAATTGAAACATCAATTCAAATCTCAATTTGATATCAATTATTTAAAGCATTCTACGAACGCTGTAAGTGTAAAAGTGTTTTATTAAAAAGAAAGAAAAGGAGTGTCATGGTAAAATTATAGAAATAGAAATTAGAATTTAAAACAGACGAGAAAAAGAATGAGAAGCACTCCGGAATCGGAATTTTAAAAGGGGCAGTTATCATCGAGTGTTGCGTTAATCTACGTTCCCACATTTTTCCAAGCGTATCTATAATTATTTTGATTTCGACGAGGCTTCAGATCATCAGACCGCGTATTTTTATGCGCTTATAAAAGACACGATTGTAACGAACATGTTCCAATTTCTGTTCACGTCACAATTTCCACTCACCGGCATCTCTCCTTATAATTCTACGTGTTGCATCTCAAAATTATCGGAGAAGACGTCGGTGAATAGAAATCGTGACCTGAACAGAAACTGGGACATCCGTCTTGTACCGAAAAAATGCGATATAACAGTATTAAAAAGTATTCGAAACGCCAAGTGACGAAAGTAATTATTTTTAGTAAAGATCCTATTTAGATTCTATCAGCAAAAGATACTGCATAAAAATTCGTGGTCCACTTTCCCCTCGCGTGTCTAACACCCTCCTATTACAACGACATTATTACCTAATCGTACGTAAGACACTCAGCAGACGAACGAACACTTGCGTCGTTATTCGAGAAACGAGAGACTGTTGGTAGTGTTTAATTGCGAAAACGCCGAGTCCCTCGATCATCATTATAATTAATACGTGTTCGGAGAACACCGGCTTGCTCGACTGGTCTGACCCGCGTCCTCACAGGACGAACTGGACGAGCGAGTGGATACGGTTAGTACCTGCATCCTGGCTGATCAGGGACTGTAAAGGTCCATGAATCATCGCCTCGGTAATTGCAGAGACCCCGGAATGACGGTTTATTATTATTATTATTATTATTATTATTATTATTATTATTATTATTTATAGATTGGTTGATCGCGTATTTTCGTCACTATGCCATTTAATGCATATACATTTACACCGTTTGCGACACGCAAAGCTTCCCTAATTTTTAACGGGATTAGACGAGAGAAGAGAGTAACGCCGGCCCCCTGATCATTTAAATTAAAACGTACCTCGTCAAACTCTGTCTTTTTCTTCTTACCATTTTATTTAGCGAACGAGGAAAAGCGTATTGCCTAAAGATTTGTTATTTGCTACCGTATCATATTCAGAATCATTAGCTTCATCTTTACTCGTTTGATATCTCTTCCTTTCGAACGCTGTTTCTTTAAACATAATTACAATCCCCTGGGCTTCCTAATTCTTCTTCCCCCCCTTTCGTTCTTCGAAAATACGTTTATAATTTCTTCCACCTGTCCTTCCTCTTTAATAATTTATATTATAATATTATCGAACGTGTATCATTGTCTTAAAAACCTGATCAATTGCATGTACGCGTATTTACAGAAAAAAGTCTGGCTGAAACGCAGACCCACGGCCCCCTATTTTATTATATTTATTTAACGTGGCTAACGGCGCGGCGTTTCTAAAACAAACAACAGCGACGCGGCTCGAGCGATTCATTGTCCGTTCTTGCATCTAATTTTATGCGACACAGAATAATTGCATAACGTTGCTACACGGGGAAACGAGATCGATCATCGCGGCTACGACGAGAAACGATGTTCTTGAGGAAGACAGTTCGTGTCAGTGGCTCTGCTGACCCTCGCCTTGCGCTTCTCTTCGGCGTTCAGTTTTCTCACCTTGTGCGACCGCGACGAGCATATCAGCATCGCCTGACCGTCCTTCGACGACGGTTCTTCTGTTCTGCTCCTGGACCTCTTCCGCTCCGTCTCCTTGTTCTTGTTTTCGGTCATCGCCTCGTCCTGCGCGTATTTCTCCTCTGAAAAATCGTGTTCCCATGTCTACCAACTTCCATCCCAGAACTATAAAACGAAAACTCTCTCTCTGTCGCAGATCGAAGAAAAATTGTATCTCTTCCGGGTCGTAGAATCGCTCCCTACACTCCATCGAATAATAACACAAGAGAGTTCTCATTTATTTAAAATGGCTATACCAGTGTGACCGCTCAAAATTTAGGTGATCTTTCGGAATTCTTTTGCAAAAAAGTATTCTATAGAATATTTTTAAACTTTAGGCATATATCTGTCTGTGAATGAACTGTATAAAATAATTTTTTTGTACAAAAATAATGTTGCAAATTTGAGAAAAACGCATTTAAAAATGTAAAAAAATTTGTTTTTTGTAAGTGTTATACTGGTACAGCCCAACCAAGTTAAAAATAAACCAAGCGAACATTTCAAGTTTTTCATATTCTTAAAATCGTCGGAGTCAGAGTTAAAGTTTCGAAGTAGTTGTTTTTGACGAACGCTTACTCTGGAAATAGCTATCGGGTTATCGATCGATTTGAAGATGGTAACGTAAAGCCTTTAAAGCCGATGAATCCACGAAGATCAGATACGAAGTGAAAGTACTTACGCAGGTACCTTCGAGGTGAAATAAATTATAAAAAGTATCAGTTTGCTTCGTGTCATGCTTCGAAAGATCAGATACTACTGACACGAGAGTATTTAAGTACGTAGGCTAGAGGTACCTTCGAGGACGTCGTCGAACATCGATTTGCTCGTTTTGGTGGCACGACTCTTCTCCTCGGTTCGATCCGTCTCGTTGTCCTTCTCTATATTGTTGTTCGTACGGAAGATCGACTCGAACACCTGTCTGGACAACGACGGCGAGACGGGTCGCTTGCCGATCTTCGTTCCATTGCCAACGAACGTGTCGCACGTGCTGGTCTCGTTGTCGCACACGCTGACGGTCGACGCGTTGTCGGTGATCAACTTCTCCGTGTCCGAATCACCGGCGTTGCTGTAATAATTATTGCTGGACTCGGACTTCTTCAGTATCGACTTGGAGATCGCTCGCTGCTTGCAGTCTATGAACGGTACGCCCTCGCTGTCTATCGAATCGGCGGAAAGGGATAGCTTGCTTTCGTTGTTCGTTCCTGAAATTTGCCTTCGATGACCTGCGTAGTATAATACAGAGTAGCTTCCAAGTATCGTTCCGCTGACCCAGAACGTAAAGGAAATCGATGAGGGAGGGTGAATCGACTAGTCGGCTGCGCGGCTCTCGCATATAATCTTTAAAGCCACACGAACGGAACGTCGTTCTAAAAGCTGATCGCTTACTCATCTTTCATTCACGTTGTTGTGAGAAAAACAATAATTGGGTAAAACTAATAATTGGGTTCTGAACTAATACAAAACTTATGACAGCAATGAGTAGAAGAACGTCTGAATATGGTTTAAGATGACATTAAGATTTTAGGTAACAGTCCCTTTAACTTGTTACCAATTTAGAGGCACGGAAAATCAATTCTGGCAGAAACGATTCTCTACAAATTCTGCCAAAAGTATAATATGAATTTTATAAGGGACAACTCCTGTAAAAAGTACTAAAAAAAAAACTGTTCAGTGATTATAGGATAGATGAGACACGCTGTACTTTGAAACAATTTTTCCATAAATGTGTAAAACCTAAATATAGAACGTACGCACGCAACGATGACACACGAATTTGCTACGAACGTGAATACGTGCCTTTTGATTCTGTTTGGATATTTATCGATGAAATATCGTATAGACCACTAATTTTGTTAGCTATTACTTGTCGCTTACCTGTGTAATGCCTGGGTCCGCTCACGGATCCGAACAGATGATGATTTATGATCCTCGTCGCCGAAGCCAAGCTGCTGTTGGTCGTCGCGAACGGTTTACCACCCCGTAGACCTTTGTAATAATTACTATCCTCGGGCTCCTCTTTTACGACGCTACGTGCCACGATGCTCTCCTGGTCGCTGATAAATTGCGCGCGTGGTCTCACGCTCTGTAATCAGCCGCGCGTCGGATCACAGCTTACTTCACCGTCCAATTTAATATACGAAACGTTTATACACTTTCGTTAGCATACATACAAATTTTTAGTGGTTTCGTAAATTTTTTTTTTCTTTTTTAATATAAACAAGGAGGTGGGATGTCCCATTGTGTTGAGATTATGTCAGTTCTGATTAATCGAGACGATAAGTATCAAACAATGAACGAAGATCAATTCTGATGAGTGTAACACGATACGGGTTTTTACCTTTTATATTGATTAAGTTTTTACGAGGATTTGTACAAAGTGGAGGTAGAGTTTGACACCAGGTAACATTTAAGAATCGATAAGAAGAGCAGAAGCAACATAGAGAATTGGTGTTGAGATTCGAGCGGGAGGGAGTGCGCACGGGTGAATGCACAAGCATTGACGAACGGAGGAGCGAATCAATTTTATAGCGAGTGCGTTCGGTACCGGAAATCCGATAGAAAGTGGACGGCAATTGCGCGCTGCCTTCTTATGCGTTTTAATTAAGGCAGAACGACGCGGTGCCTCCGGATAATCTGGGTTTGCCTGAGAGCCACTCGCCGCCGTTCTCTTCGCGCGTGCACGTGTGTGTGTGTAACTTCGCGCGGCACCCTTCGCGACGAAGTACAGTAAATGCAACGATCGCCGATTCGTCGGCCGATTCGTTCAACTGTGCTCCGTTTCCGACGTCTCGTGAAACTGAAAAAAGCAGTGATGGCACGCTGTCAGAGATCGCGCGATGTAATCTGCACAATTTTCTGGATTCTATCAGGATCTCGTCTATACATAATGCCTGTGTATAAATATAGTCATAATGTCTGTCTATAAATACAGTGGTCCTCGTTAATATTCCAACACATTTCTTCTTATATCAAACCATGTTCCGATGAGCCAGATATTTGTTTCTAATGCAGTCATAATAAGGTAGACGAAGGAATTAAGAATTGGGGATGGGGAAAAATAGCAATGAATAAGAAAAAAAATGGAAAATACGTTCTTTGGATTCTAGACTCATTTCTCAATATTTCTTCAGCAATATCACCGAGAAGAGATTACTAAAGACGAAAATTGTAACTCTAATTGTCAGCTACAATGTTATTAACTATTTTGAGCTCTATTACACCATTCTCACTGTCACAACGATTACGCTGCCACTGTTTAATAGTATCTCCTCGGCGGTGATATGAAAATGTGCAAAAGTGGATAGGCGAAGTAAAGAACGTACCTGTTGAATCCGAATTTTTCTATGCTTGGGCACCGTATCGTTTAGGGTAACTTTCCTACTCTCGATAAAGGGCCGGATATCCTTTAACGATTCGACGCTCGGTGACGCTTCGCTGATGTTGCGACCAACTTCTCCGGAAGCCGATTTCTTTACTCTGTTCCCGCACTTCTCCGCTGCCTCCAGGGGATTCACGTACAAGTTACTGTCCGCTTCCTCCGTCAAATCACCCTACGGATTATATTTCAAGATCGCTCTGTACAAGGGTGACTCCATTAATATTCCGACGGATTTCGAAAGGGAATAAGTTTCTTCATACTGAACGTAGCAACTTCGTTTTCTTTCCAACGTTACGAGGCTCAGTGTAATAGACAGAGTGAGATTAGTTTATCAGGGTCAATGTCTCGTAACCAACAGATTTTACAGAATTTTGAATAAAATTTTTGAGGATGAGATGTTTCAAGTGATTATTCTTGCGTAAAACGAGTTCCAAACGCTGACGGTTTAAAATCTAATCGTAAACAAACGATTTCATACTTGAGTAGATTTCCACGTAACACAATCATAATTTTTTATACTCATTATCATTATCATAATTTTTATTCTCAGATATACAATATAATTTTTGTTCTTTAATACGGACGATGACTGTATCGAGTATACTAAATGCAATAAGATGTAGGCGAATATTAAATCATGCTAATACGTATGCATATTATCAAACAAATTAAAAGTATATCATCGAAATTTAAATTCTTCTTCTGCCCCTTTTTTTATAGAATTTATATAAACAGGCTAGACATGTATTTCTCGAGCTGAATTTTGTATTGCCATTCCATTAGCCAAGCTCGTCTATGTTCTGTCTTAATTAAGGGAATTAAAATCTTCTGAATTTGGATGTTCTAAGGATCAGGACTCTATTCTAGTTTTTAAGCTCGATCTAATATCTAAAAATGTGCATCCACTTGAATCATATCCTCGCATCACCGTTCCGTGTTAAGGTTGTATGAACTCTTACATAAAACCAATGACAAAGCATTCAAATTTTAACAATTACTAGATATTACTTGAATAAAATATTGTACAAAGTTTTAGAAATTTTGCGAGGCTATTAAATTTAAAATATTTGTATTGAAAGCCATACAGGGTGACTCAATAAAAATTGCTATTTAGAATAATAAAAATCCACATTTCTGTTCTCGTCTGCACTGACTTATTCTTCAAGAATTTTACATGTCGTCGTAAAACGATAGAAAAATAAGTCAGGGAATAGAAATTGTGACGTGAACAGGAATTGGGACACTTACTACGGTTGGAAGTATCCCAGATGAACGGAGGAGGTGCAAGGATATGAGACAATTAGATACACGGTTTAGCGTTAAATGATAAATGGAACGAAGCAATACGTTGAATAAATTATCCGCACTACGAGAAAAAATGTGATTTCGCAAATTCTTCAGATAATGACGTAGTACCTTATTGTTATCCGCCGAATGACCAGCAGAAGAGACCTACGGTAATTAGTATATTCGTTCTCGGCGATGAGATATTCGATGAGAAGAAATGGATAGAAAATATTGTATTAAATGCGATCGGAAATGTTGTAATTACAATTCCGGAGAACATCTTTGGGCAGATATCTCCTCGTACCGTATCAACGTTGCGTACCATAGCCATCGTCGGCTAATCCTGCAAGTGGCTACTTAGAATCAATAGTCATTTTTGGAAACGACACCAAGCGATGAACTACGATCTAGTTTAAGAAGCTTTGTATCTTAAATTGTATGTTACAACAATTCTAATTAATAAATTAATAAATGGAATGTTGGCATTTTCATTTCTCGATCCTTGACCAAATATGATCGAAAGCATTGTTCACACGTATCTAAACTATCCTAAAAGTTTCAAGAAAATCTGTACGATAATTTTCACTAGGCGTTGATGCGTAGGTCAGTCAGGAAGCGCTTTATAGATTGCGATTGTCTGTTTAGATCGGTCAGAGTTCAGAATTTAGAATGATACGCAACGTCGTTACGATTCAAAGGTACTTTTTTAGTAAAAGCTCTGAGATGTGAGCAGAGATTTTCATCGAAGTCGACGGACTCAATTCTCATCGTTAGAGATCCTCGCGGATCTCGCCCGCCTCCGTTCTATTCTCTTTTATCTGTACCTGTGAATGAGACGGATGCGTTTGGCAGCTGGCATACGTGTCGGAGCTGTCGACGCTCCCCTGCTCGTTGTACATCTTCCCGTAAACGGTGGCCACGTCGGTGGAAGCCGGTTGCGCCGGGGACACCGCCTTCGTCTCCTGGGCGAAGATCAGCTGGTGCATGGCCTGTTCCGCGGCGAGCGCCGCGCCCGCCCGAAGGGATTTCATCTCCTGGCAGATCGGGTTACGAAAGTCGCTGGTCGCCAACGGCATTATATTTTCTGCGTCCCTGAACTCTTTGTACTCCTAGAAACACGACCGGGGTGAAAAGTCTCTGATTGCCGAAGACGAGCACCGCCGCAACCGAGCGCGTCGCCTTCAACATCGGATCTCGTCCTAAAATGTTCGTCCGAAAACGACGCATCTTTCGTCGAACAGCACTAAATACACGCGATGATAGACCGGTTCAATAATAGAACTTTTCAATATAATTTAATTACAGGAATGTTCGTAAATCGCGGATTTTATAAATGAAATTTACATCAATTTATACAGTAAGAGAGTAATCATCATTTACGATGCAATTTAACTGAAATGCTAGTGATTATTCTGAAACGTCGTTGAGGAAATGAATCCAAACTTGTCGGGGTCTGACAAAGGGAAGGCAAAATGCTCCGTGAGACCTGACGACGAAAGCTGCGCTCGTTCGACCCATTGTGAAAAGAAAAGAAAGGGAGTAAGTAAGTAAGTACTTTCTTGAAATTGAAGTGTGCTATACTGAGCATACTCTAACATAAGAGAGGCAGGTATAAAAGGGAAAAGAAAATCGTTCGTGTACACAGAAATTATACGAAATCTATTGAAGATGTGGCCTCACTACTTCTGTATTTATTTAGACGTGTACATATACTCGCCTGATGCGGTCCGGTACACAGTATTTTGTCACAGTATTTTTCGTTAAGTGGATTTAAGTAGATGGAACACGCATGTATACACGTTAAAACGCATATACGTGGGCCTGTAATGAGGTGCATGACTTAAGGAAAACAACGAGTCGGCCGATTCTTACATTGGTCAAGGGATCTTAGATCAGAGTCCGACTCCCAAAGCTTGTCAGAACATTCGAGCATATACTACATGGAGCCTCCATGTAGTATATGCTCTAAGGCCAGAACTGACCATCTAACGTGGGGATGCAAAAATCAAATACGTAATAGAATATCGTACATTCAGGATTCACTTGCAAAATTTGTAGTCATCGTGCTCGATACAGACTAATCGTGATTTCTGTCTCTAAGTACATGCCAACAAACGATGAAAACAGTGAGAGAAGCGTGTGTTTGCTGATACTGGCATATCAAGAAATTGCTCTCAAGTATTCGAACGAGAATCAATCTGTATGTATTTAGAAAATAAGCATACGTTCCGTGTTCGAAGTACAAATAATAATAAAGAAGCGATTCTTGATCAGAGATGGAAATTGTACGGTTTGGAGATTAAGAAGATTAAGAGATTGTATACTGTAATACGTGTCCTTTGGGTTTCTCTCGATGAAATTCGAGCATTGCCTTTCGGCTCGGTGAATTTATTTTTAATGTAGAAAAGATTTATGCTCGTATTACGATTTGAACGTGATTCCGTCTCGTGTCGATCGTTCAAATAAAACTCGACCGTCGAAGGGTATAGCCGCAGCTCCTTAGACTATTGCTAGCGTGACGACGACGTGTCGCGTTCAACTTTAGTAATTGTAACGAGTATCAATTATAGGTATATGTATAGAAGTGGTCGGTCGTACGATTTATGTGGTAAGTTTAAGTGAAACGTGCCAGAGTTGTGAAACAGTGTTTCGTGTGAGAACGTTTTGTTCGAATTGTTAACAACTCGCAAGCAAATTGCTCGACACGAGCCTAAAGAAAATAATCTCTCGTTCCAGGCTAACTGAACGATTGCCAGCGTGATTCATGCACCAGTCTACATACATACATATGTAGCGTGTAAAACTGATATTCGTCTGCAACTTGGAAGCAGGAAATTATTCGTCAAAGAGAAACATAGAAATAGATAAAGAGGGAGATTAATTGATAAACTTCTCGGTTTCAACGTACCTAATAGGTATGTGCGAATAATTCATCCAAATTACAGTAAATATGTATAACGAAGAAGTTTACATATGTATAAAAAATAAAACTGTTCTTCTATTAATCTGATTATACTAAGAAATGTGCCACTATCAATCTATTTAATTTTTAATCTCTAAAAGTATCTAATACGTACTAACAATTGCATAACATACTATTTAGCGAAATTTCAAGCAGGATCAATGTATTAAATAAGTGAAAATTCTTCGGAATTCTAGAGTATTTTTTTTTTCACGCTGTCTTTTTCAAACTACATATATGGATCTATGGTTAGAAAAAGATAGTAGAGAAAGGTTTATTTGGTTAACAAGATGAACAAAACGAAGAAGCTTCAATTCGCAAGTACCTACATATAATAGATACTTATAATGTGCCCAACGGTGTTAGAAATGGAAGTATACTCGTCAAATATTCATATCAGAACTATAAGTCGAACCCGCATAGCTTTTTTTAGAAAACGATTCTTACATATTTATCAGATCTTCACTTGGCCATTTTGCAAGTTTTCACAATTTGCAATTCGTAGAAGAGATCTGAGTTGCCTGAACAAACTTTCTCGTCGGACAGATTATAACATTCTATTTGAGATCAGGGATGGCAGAGTTAGTAGGCTTAGTTAAGGCTGAAGGCGTTCCTCCCTTCTAATGTTTCCCCTTTCAAGACCGACGATATAAAGTTCGATGTAGTTTGTTAGCTTCTTTATCTGCTTGGTATCTATTTTATACAGATTGAACACGATGTGGTACATGTTTCCACTTGCATCGTATCATCGTACCGTATCACCGTTGCCTGTCGTTTTCACTACTCGTGTCGTCGTCTCACTAGTACTCATTATTCTTGTATTTCATTAACACGTTCCATGCCACGTGTACCATAAATGGTACATGCAGAAATATTTATTTAATGTGCTGAAACCTCAAATGGCCCGAACGACAAGTCGGGCAAAAACGGCTTGGCACGAAACGTGTTAAATGATCTTTAATGAAATTAGTTCTTTCTTATTATAGAACGATTCTCTATCTGTTCCTCATTTTGTGGAAAAACTGTGGTGCGCATGCAACGACGATATGGAATGCCGATACGACAGGAGGATACGGACGTTAATAGACCGTGGCGTTTCGTGTTGAGCTCCGTCTTGAAAGGGTAGTCAGGTGTCGTAATAGCTCGTGCGTTGACCCACGAAATTACGAGTCTGCACGGAAATGAAATTAGTGTGGGACGAGCTACGGTTACTAGGTCTAAAGCGTTGAATGAAACTTGTTTCGATATCGTATTCAATGAACAAAAGTTGTGTGCTCTGTTGAGGGTGAAAAGGGGTCGGGAGGCAGTGCATACACCCAGTGGACTATACATACCGGACAGACCGTGCATCGGCTGTAATAGAGACGTACATAGTAGCGGAATAATAGAAAAGCCAAGGGACGGTTATTCATATGTGTAGCACGGTGTGTACATACATACGTAGATACACGTACGATACGACTTTTCTCAACTCGCGCGGAGGCAAAGCGACAGGAACAGAATAATTTAAAAAAATAAAAATAAAACGAGAACAGAGTGAGAAAGAAAGATAGAAGCTTTTAGTCCCCTTGGTCCCGATTCTCTCGACAGCCCATTGGTGTATGTAATGCCGCCTAAAGGAAGAATGTTAGTGATCGTAAATACCTTCGTAGTACAAAAGCAACACTCGAATTCGCTAGGTATTTCATCATTTTTCTCGAATTTTCTGCTGTCTTTTTTCTCCTCATCCTACAATGTCACACACACAATTTCCTATTTTACTTTTACGTAAAACACGGCTTCGCGCGCGCCCGGAAGTGACCGCATCATCTCGTTCGTTGCTCGCTGCAAATCTCCCATATAAATGTCTCTATCGAGCTTATAAAAGGCTGTACAAGTTCAGAATCGTAAAATATAATACATCATTTAGTATTGTTGACGGCAAAGGACCTGATCTTTGATACGAAATAATTCGGACGCTTCACGAACGAGCGAACATGTAATTGATTAATCCTTTGAAGCACGCATTCAAGAAAAACACCATACGAGACGTTGAGCACGCGTGTACCTCGTTTCTGACCGAACAGTTAGCTGTACATCGAATAAAAGTTTTCGCAAGAAGGAAGACGACCGCGAGATCACTCGACGTCGCGTTTCAGTGATGATTGATCGACGATTTGCATTTGGAACACCTTCCGACGACACGGGTGCTTCAAAGGCTTAAAACAGTAAGTACATAACGAGGCAACGTATGATCACGTGGAGCCAGAGAGAGAAATATTCTAACTTCGTCAATCGTGATAATTTTGTTACGTGACAATCCGTCGTGCGTAAATCGATTCATAAATCGCTAGTCTATTTAATTATATCTGTGAAACCATCAGAGATATTCGAATGGCAATTATTCTCCTACGAAACGATTATAGAAATGAGTAAATAAATGAAATAACGTTTACGGATTGATCTTCGCACGATCGATGGCATAGAGAGTGTGAAAAGGTGAGTAGATCACGTATAAGAGTGACAGTGAAACGCATCGTAGTGAGAGTGAAATAAAACGTGTGTGGACGGACGTCACAATTGCTTTTCGTTACTTACGAGCGACATCGATCAATTTGGAAATGCAGTAGTTAGGTAGCAGAAACGAATCGTTCCTCGAACCTGCTGTCCCGTATGGTATATCTCTCTTTACGACAAATGTAAAAGGTGGATCTTTGCAGAAGATGACAGAGCTGGTAAAAAGTGGTATTTATATTAAAAGTATTGATCAGTCTTCTCCAACCTTCAATTCCAGTCATCAACCAGTCCGTCTCTCGAACAGCAATATAAGACGTCCCCACTTAATAAATACTTCAACATCGTACGGGATGTTACGTTTCACCAATGGTAGAGACGATTAAAGGAAATTCTTCTTAGATAGAATTTCTTAAATGTCATAAAAATCTGCAGTCGGCCTCCATTATTATTGCCTAATTTAAATGTGGCCTCTAGTGTTAAAAAGGTTCCCCATCTCTGGTCTATACTAAGCTCTACCATTCGCGTTTCATCCTGTACGTATAAAATACTTTTACTAGTCGTCGACTGTCCCCGAAGCCAGTTCACGATCGTTTCGACGCGTTTGGAATTAACGTTTACGGACGAATTTCGAGGTTTAGTCGAATTACAACCCGTTGAAGTCCAGATTCAATATTGGTTTTATTCGATTACAAGAAAATTTGTATCTGATATAAGAATGGACGTCGAATCGTGTCGTATTACAATTGGATACGAGCTAATCAGAAGGATCGTACAACTGCCCGATATGATCTACGGTCCCACGATTTCTTACTTATCGTTCCCTTCTTATTAGTTTCGGTACCTACTAATGTATAACGATTACGTGTACAGGCAGTGTTTTGGAGAGCCGATTTTCCTTTTCTCATTTTTTTCAATTAAACATCGAATCGAGACGGTGTGCAGCTATTAAATTCTACGCAACGTTATTATCGCACGAGAATTATTAACGTCAATCGTAAGTCGTATATTATATCCTAGAGCACCAGTTAACAATTAGATTGAGCATCGATGCAATTCTTCTGCGAGTCTTTCGTTCACCGATATTAATCGTAATTACTATACGGTTAGCTGATTAGATCTAGCTAGATGGAATAAATTGTCTCTGTAAGAAGTGTCGACAGTGTAGTATCTAACAGACTCTCAGATACATGTGTAACAAATCTTTATATGCGCGTCGTTTATCCTTAATACGGGTATTAAATATCTACGTATATATTTATATATA